ATCAATTCCAAAAAGTTTTATTTAGTTACATTTAACCCTTCAACCATTATACCCAGGTTTACTGATGTTTACTTAATAGTACCAACGATGCAATACTGGTTGCCTATGCTCGAGGATCATGTGGCTTGTAATTATTTATGAAGGTTCTTGAGCAACTTGTTAACATAATATACGTAGCTTTATTCTATAAGAACTGTTCTAATTTTAACTTTATTGATAATTAAAAAACTACCAAAGGATATCTACACTTAAAAGATGAGTACCCGACATAAAACCACGCATAAATCCGTAATTAAAATTTTAATGAACGGTATAATTAAGGGAAAAACGAAGCAGGAGCATTCCTCTAAACCACATTTCTAGATTCGCGGATTTCATTGCTATATATATAACGCAAAGTGAATAAAACTGGTGGTTTAATGAAGGGTCGTAAAATCCCCACGAGTCGAAATATTCTGCCTTCACATTTATATGCTGTACCGTGTAGGTATCTAAAAGGACGAAAAAACAAATAAATAGCTGCGTTACTACATTTACCATAATTTTTTAGACAACATTTAATCATGCAAGAAAACTGTAATGGGGTTTTTGCCACTTTTTCATCATAAAATGAAATAATGTAACAAACAACTTTTTATTTTTGCAAACGGCAGTTAAAAAAATGCAGTAATGAAACGAAAATGACGGGCAGCTGTGACGTATTAGCCTATGCTTTAATTGCGCCATCTGTTAACAGGAAGCTCAACTAAAATTTAATACCCTCTTTAGTAAAGAAACAGGGGGGTTGCATAAATAAGAAGTTTTCTATAATAACAACATCCTACGTCACAAGTTGATATCAATAGCCTACGAATATCAAATGTTAAAATCGGATAAAAATTTATGCAAGGAGCCATTAGAGAATTTGCTTGTACAATTCGCATCAACTTTCATTTGACTATATGTCTAATTCAATCCAATAGATATGGCACTGGAAATCTCAAGATGTCAGAAACTGAAGTAGTAGTAAATATCGTAGCATTTGCTCATTTTCATTATTATGTCAGTCACTTTTTCATCACATGAAGCTGAGGAAACTCATTTTGTACTGTGGGTATAAAATTAAGTGGAAAAACAAACACAACAACGTTGTTAAATGTGAGGTTAAATGTCAAAAAACGGTTGAAAGGCGACTAGATTCTTAAACATCGAAACTGAAACAATAAACAGTAAAACTGTCTAGCATCGGCTCAAGCAACAAGGAAAATTTAAGGAGGCCCTGCGACTCGAAACCATCGGGATAGGCGGCGGTATGCCGTGAGTCCAAGTTACGCAAAGGAGCCGACAAAAATGCAAATGCTGTGTAATGGAAAAATAAACGCCAAGAGGATTCGCAATTAGCCGGCCGCGTAAAATAACGGTGAAGTAATTTTCCAGATAACATTCGAGATATCTCTGGCCGTCGGATCGCAGCGACACGCCGGTTTATTTTAATACCGGGCTAAAATTACACCGCAGGAGCCGGCGACTGTACTCTGGAGAAGACGTCGGAGGCAACTTCTTGTCCACAGGGCGGCACGCGAAAGGACCATTGAGGGTCGTTTTGGTCCTTCGAACCGGATCATAACAAGAAAACAAAAGAAAAAAAAACGACTATCAAAATTATTTTGGTCATATTTGATTGGTTTAAAGTGTATAACATGTGAGAAGTATCAGATCAATAATTATATATCTCTACGATAGAATACTATGGATTTTTTATGAAATTTCAAGTGTAATGAATTTATTATAAAAGACAAAATTACGAAACTGTTATAATTTGAAGATAAAACAATCACAAATAAGAGCTTTTATAAAAGGTGAATAATAAGAAATTTAAAAAAGTATTTAAAAAAATGGCTCATATCTTAGAAACGCAGCATTCAATTGTTTTTCTAAGTATAGTTTTGAAATCACAAGAAAATTTCCTACAACTTTGGTCCATACTATTTTTTTCTAAATACGAGAACAACATGGTCAAAAGCTGTAGAATATTATTATTATTTTAACGTGGTCAATTTTTATAAAACTCTTTATATTTAATTGTTTATTGTTTTACTGTACATAACTTGGTTGATATTAAAATAAAAAAAAATATTTTTTAAAATGTTTAACTTTATATCGTATTTTATACTAAAAAACGAAAAAATGTTTCAACCTTAAAAGTCCTGAAAATATCGTAACAAAAACTGCGAAAAATCGACAAAACTTAATAGTATTTTTTTATTATATTTCCTGAACCCATCCAGATCAAAAAAGAAAAAATAACAACTATTTAACTTTAAGATTGAGGATAAACAAAGATTTATTACAACAAAAAAAAATCCATCCGTACACTTAGATCATTATTTTTCAACTCGCCATAAACATTTGGACTCCAGAAGGCCTTTTGGAATATTTTTAACAAAGAGGAGCGGCCAACTGCCCATTACATGCAATTAGAGGCAATTAACACTTGTTAATATTATTAAATTTGAATCCAGTTAAAAAATTATTACTGTCATCACGACTAAGTATAGAAGTAGTTTGTTCAGAGAAACAAAGAAGCAAGGAGATTCAATATTCTCGTTTGAGGAAATATTATTAATAACATTTAGGACATTTAAAGTAGGTACGGTGAATAAGAGGTGAAAGTACATCAGTCAGCAAATTGTTAGTTATTAAAAAACATTTTGATACCTATAGGCTATATCCATTTTCAGTGAATAAAAGTCAATTTTGTTAATTGTCAATAATAATAATAGTAATATTCTATAAAAAACAGTAATTATTATCGCTAAGAAAACAGCTAATTTTATCAAATTATATTCAAAGAATACATTTAAAAAATGTGGTTATAATTATCAGATTGTTTATCTTCAATGAACATTTACAAAATTCCCGTGTAATATAAAGGAATTCTCCAAAAAAATTGTTAATACCACTAAAAAAAATAATTACCTAGTTTAATCGAATTATATTCAAAGGAAAAATTATCAACTAACAAACATGTTTTTACACTTTCAAAAAGTGAGGTTATAACTTGGAAACCGCATAATAGACGGCCTATTTTTCGCGGCCCACCGTGTATCAGTAAATTTAGATGCAAGATACATTGCAGACGACACATTTTAGCTTGTTGGAAATAAATAAACGCTACTGGTTCACATTTATACTTGAGCCACCAAAAACAAACAAAAGAAGATGCTACTGAGCACAGACGAAGAAACGCGTCGAATATGCGGCTCGGGAAATTCTGTCCGATAAATTATATGGGCAATTGTCACGACCAACAATAGTTGAGGATAAATCGGACATAGGTATTTGGGAAGGTTACAAATGTAAAAAGGATTTAAATTCGGTTCCCACAGCGGCCGAAGCTCAGCAGAAATTTACAGACATCCGCATCACATGCAAAATATCAAAATAATTTAATTCTTGTTGAAATGTTCTACGAATTGTTATTATTTCTATTGTGTTATTTATATACTTTTTAAATATTTACCATAACAGCATCAAGTGTGCTTGAACAAGTGTCAACAGAATGAAGACTAATAACCCTTTGGAAACATTTGAAAGCCCATACAAACAACTGAACAACCTTATGTCTACGAAAGTTAGATTCCCTAATATTTGAAATTCGAATGTAATTAAAATAATTATATCTGAAGCTTCAACAGATTACTGATTATCGCTGACGTATTCCAGACTGTTCTATGCATTATTTTTAGTTCTACAACGTCAATGGTGAGCATCAACAAATATAAAGATGATGAAGGCTGCTTCGAACAAGCAAGCATAGAAAAAAATTATTAAATCAAAGCAAATAACGGTAGGGTAATAATAATGCCTATAAATTTTTAAAATTCAAATTAATTTAGAATCAGATTTTACAATCGAATGAATCATTTATGGCTTGGAAGTAATTTAAAATTAAAAAGGTATAAAAATAAAAATTATTTAATTATTCAACAGATTAAGTAGGTATATCCTTAAACATCACAAAAATATATGGCGTAATACTAGGAATAGCCATTTGTTTTTTATAGCTGTGTATATTTAAAGGCCTTTCACGTCTAATTTGACCTTTAATTTAAAAACTGGATCTACAAAATCCATGTCCGCAAAAAGTATTAATTATTTATAAACCTAATAATTTATAATCAGCGGCGAGGTATAATTTATAAAATTGTATATATTAATTGAAAATTATCTAATAAAGCTACATATGATTATCTAAAATGGCAAATCACATGTTTCGGCGGCAATAAAAATTGATAAATTTATTGACTAAATTAGCTTGTATAGGTATGAAATGCATACTTGTTTAGCAAATAACTAAATAGGCTTTCATTTCCGCTTGTTGTAAAAAATAAATTATATAAATATAAATTCATCGAGCAAGTGTAATCCACACAAAATGAAATACCTAAATACATTGCCCTTGCAATTAGTCAATTCTGATCCTGTAAAATCGTACGGGTAATCCAAAAGTCAGTCCGTCGGAAAGCACATTCAACTAAACTATTTCACAAGGAAATCCTTCACAAATACTATTTGTCCATTGCACATCACAGAACAAACACTTTTCGCCTATTTTTCCAGTCACCTGTAGTTCAAAACACCAACTGATGGTTGTAAACAAAAGTGCGACCGCATCTAGCAAGCCGTTTGCTGTCCACCGCACAAAAGACAATCGTCCCGTGTCCACCTGCAATTCACAGTTCACTTTATTCCTCCTCGATCAATAAAATAAACAGCTCTGATTGTTTACACGCTAACAATTAATAATTGTCCACGATTTTGACAAACTAAAATTCAAAATTCAAGTGGCACCGAAACCCGCCGACGTTGTCAGTCGTCAGAAGTTCGTAACAGCAAGCATGACAAGTATGTAAAGTATTGTAGGAATTGTAGACACATTGCTCACATTCTAACGGATATTTAGCCTAAAACACTGCGAAAACTGTATGAAAATCGTTCTTAAACTGCTAGGTACTTACCAAAATTAAAAATGCGAGCCTCTTCGGCAACTTTATGGATAATTAGGACGGATTTTAGTCCGTTAATACGAGGAGTTTGTCTGTTTGTGGTATGCTAGGAATGGTACAAAGAATCTGGACAACGCGAAGACTACTGCGCACTCGAAATGCGCATAGTAAGCGTTCTAAAGCCAGTTTTCTTCCAAAACTCTCTTCGCTCCCCTCCAAATATAAATACCAATTGCATTGTTGGCCGCCGCGACACCTAGCGGCGGATAGATTCGTTCCTATCCAACGCTGACAAAGTTTCCATCACCAGTACTACGAAGACTTATAAATGCTTGTAAGAGATGGCCACGTGTTTTAAATATTTTTCCTCAATTACGAAATCACACAATCACATAAAAAAAAATTAAAGCTTTTGAAAACCGTTTTTAGAATTTGATGATCCTTGAAACTCTTAGAATAATTGTATAAACAAAAAAAAAGATTCTATAACTCAAAGTTCTATTTATTTGTCCAACTACTAAATAACACTTAAAAAGAAAAGTATAAACACAAAAGTCTTTATTAAAAAAAGTACAACTTATTGACAACTTGACTAAAAGAAATCTGGTTTATTATTTCTGTTCTTCTTCCACTATTTCGTCTATTTTCACCTCTTCATTCTTCTTTTTCAGTAACCAGCTTCTTTAGCTTTACGCCTTTCTTCTTTCATGGCCTTCTTCTGTTCTTTTTCCTTTTTCTCAAGCATCTCCTTGAACTTATCATCCCGTGGATCGACAGTATAACCAAAATGCCTTTTGACTTCTTCTATTAATCGATCTTTCCGCTCCTGAAGAAAAGTAAAAAATTAGAATTATTATACTGTGTGGCCCATTAAGAACTAAAAATCTTTAAAAAAATTTTTGAGGCATACGATTTGAATGAATTTGATAAATAGTGGCCTTCCAGATATTCATTGATGGTCCAGTCAATTCATAGTGTTGTAATTTTTTTTATGAGTGATTTTACATAATTCATTTCAGGGATTACTTTATTAAAAATATGTTTGTGTCTTTTGACGTTTCTTTTGTTTAGGTTTATAATTTTTACGTTACTTAGTTCCACTTTAATAATCTAGTGAGCATTGGATTATTAAATGGACGATTGTAATTGGTTCAACAAGTACATCTAAAAATCAGTTTATAAAATAAAAAAATTTGAATCGAGAAAAAAATTAAAAGGGATACCTAGTTGTTAATGGGCCGCAGTATATATAACCAGTTTGCAATTTTATAGTTAAAAATATTGACTTGTGTAAGGAAAATATCACTTTTACAATTATTTTTTTACAGTTACACTCTTATCATAAAAATGCTCCACAATTTTACAGGTATTTTAAAATTTATCTCTGTATAAGTATTTATTGCTGTAGAGATATCCTCCCAAATATTAACAGTTAACTTCAACTTTCACTTTATGCAAATTATTGTCAGTTAGGAAATTTTAGGTTATCCATTGAATATCAGGTGAGAAATTATTTTTTAAAGCAACTACGAAGAGAATTTATCCATCAAAATCAATTTTATGCTTATCTAGTAAATCACAATATGTAACAATGTAATTTTAGAAAGGTTAACGACCCACCTTTGCCGACTTAGCCTCGTTTTCTTTCTTGGCAATGCGTTCTTGTAACTCACGAGTCCACACATCCAACTTTGCCATTTTCTTAATAATATCCGCTTGTCGAGCTAATATCCTTTCCTCCTTCTCTTGTCTCTTCTGCTTAGCAGCTGCTACCATTTCCGCAATTGTAAATGGATGTTTAATTCGTTCGTACTCCTTAGCCTCATTTAGTTCGTCTTTTGTAGGCCAGCAGATTGATGGATTGACACCAGAGGCTTGCCCATATCTTCCGTACGTGCGCCTGATATACTTTATTGTCCCATGATGCCAAAGCATCGGTTCAGGGTAAGGATTTTTTTCATGAAGTATGTTTCTGTCAGCGTCACGCAGTCTCGATTTGTTTCTCCTCCTTTCTATTTCTTCTTCTCTAATCCTGTCTTCCTCATCTACGACTAAATGTAAAATATGGTTAACAGTACAAGCATTGAACCGAACACGAGTATACTAACCTTCTGCAAAAGTAGCACTAGATTCCTGTTCTAATTTTTCTATATTTAATTTAGAACTGCTATTTCTCGTGGGTAATAAAACACGGTGAATACTTACTAATCTTTTCATAACCTCTCTTTGAATCATGGTGTGGTTTATTAATGTACGGAGTAAAATATTACGAATATAAGACCGTGTAACTTGCACACATTGGAACAATGAATAATAAATTTTCAAAATGAATAATTTAAAATAATATAATTTGTGTTTGTACTCTTTAAGTTCTTTCCATTTTTAACCTCTACTAAAATAACTCTACCCCTCTACTACCCTACCACTTCCCCTATTCTATTCAAATTAATAGAGACCATAGAACAATCAAAGAGTTTAGAATAAATAGAGGTAAAAACTTAAATGTATCTGTGCAAAGCAAAGACTGCCGTTTTCCACATCTGGTGGACTTAGATGAGGGATAAATGTCCTTGGAATTATCATTTTAAAACTTGTAGTACAACATGACTGCACAAATGAGCTGTTCAGCTATAATTATAATGTGGTGACACAGAATATCCTAACTACAATTCTGTGGTGGTGAGCTGGTGAGTGCAAGAAACCAAGAAGTGGAAAATTGATAGTATCTCTTATCTTTATCTTCTTAAATCCATGATAACATTGTATGCACGCGTAGAGGTAACGTGATGGATTTAGAGATAGTGCACTACTCGCCAAAGAATATTATATCAGAAATTATAAATTTTTTATTTTTTTTAATTATTCAATCTTACTTTATTAAAAAAAAAATCACAAATGAATTAAGTTATTTAAAGAAATTATTCAGATAAATAAACTAAATTAAACAGTAACTTTTCCTTTATTATAAAAAAAAGCATATGCAAAAAAATTATAATTTTGCACTCTTAATACACTTTACATTACGTAGGTATATATTATTTAATTTCATTATTATTATTATCTTAACATTCAAGTATAATTCTGTAAAAATATAATTCTACTAGAGCTAATATTTTCCCTACATACAGGGCAGGATTTCTGGTAACTTAAACTTTCATAAATACAAGTCCAACAAAATACATGACCGCACGTTGTTGCGCAGGGTGATTTCATATTTTCTGCACACAAGACACAAGTCCTGTTGGATGTACTTAAAGAAACGGGAAAATTTTCCGAAACATTTCTATCATGATTGAATAAAAGTTGATGTATAAAATTAAATAAAATATAAAATAATGATATATGACCTAACAGATTGAAACTTCCCGTAAATGTATCGTCTTGCAACCATTGTCTCAAGAGTACCTGCAAATATGTAATTAATTCTAATATCTATAATAGTATTATTTCGAATTACATATCGTATACCCATTAACCTATTTGATAAATTATAATATTTGCCATTGGTGTAGAAAATAGATTGATGTATTCTCGCAACAGTTGATTTTCGTTCTTTGATGAAATCTATACATCGCAAAAGAAATGATTTTGCTTCTTCCCTTAAGGCTGTCGATTTAGATATTTTATTTTTGGAAGAACTGAGTAGTCTTTCGAGTAATGGTTCACCACCTATATAAAGAATTAACCATAAAGTTTGTACCTACGAGTATAGATAACATTAGCAACTTTTCCAAATCGTTAAATACTTCAAACCATTTTTGAAGGAATGTGTCCATCCTGATCGACCCTTATGGTACCCGTATACTCTTCTCCTAGTGTCTGTAAATTCGCCAATGAAGTCATTACATAGTACCACACATTCGCCACCCGTGGTATTATCTTTCTCATTTTATGATAATTCTTAGCACCCATAAGTTTAAAAAAGGTATGCATCTGGTTTTCGACATCTTGAAGAAATACTTCATCCCTTTGGGTTAATCGTAAGACATCAGCTACTTTTGCTTCGTAGAGACGCATTTTCAAATATTTTAATATACTGAAGTATATGTCCAGATTGAACTATTTTCCTTTTGCAATACGATAAAATTGGATAAAAAACCATGTAAACAAGGATTAGACTATAAAAACATCTGTTGTTGATAATGATAAAATAGTTCAAATCGTGCCATTTCTGTCGAGTAGTTAATAGTGACAGTAGTTCTAATATCGACATGTTCTAATTTTGCACTACTAAGGTTGTAGCAACTCCCAGTAGATGGCTCTAAATTAAAAAAAAGTAAGAAAAGTCAATCATTTACGTAAACTAAATTATTTACATTCATTCCTTACCTCGAAATTCCTGTCAATAATCAACAACAATTCTAATACAAGCTCAGTGGTAAAGAAACAAAATTAATTCTAAGACTAATTTTAAATATATTCCCGCCCTCCTCGAATTTGACAGTCAACCATGGGACGTGTCATTTCGTTTACATTAACAATTTTTAAATAAAAGTACCTCTCGCAAATACTTATGGTACCTAGTATATAGTTTTAGTTTTGAAATTTTTACTTCTACTGGCCTTAAGGTAATTTTTTTAAAATTTAAATTGTAGGTTATGTTTTTTAATCAAAGAATGAAATAAATATGTGCTTAATTTGTTTTAGAAAAGCTCTTCAGTTTCAAAAAGTAATTCTAAGGAAAATCTCATCATGCAGAAGAAAGGTAGATATTATTTATATTACGAATAATTTATTGCTGAACCATAATTTACTTTTAGAAGGTAATACAAATTCTTTAAAATATATAAGTTTAGTAACGTTAACTTTACAAAATGCCCTTTTGGGATTGAGTATGAGGTATGCAAGGACTCGCGATGGGGACATGTTTCTATCATCAACAGGTATGTGTAATTTATTTAAATTTTTTAAATGTCATTAGTCTAATGTAACTAATATACCTAATTATTTAAATGAATATGAAAGTTGTGGGGGGCTTATTTGATGATCCATGTATTACAGAATGACGATTTTATATTTAACTGCTACCTAATATCCTGTCCTTCAGATTAGAAAGTGATTTACAGTCGTCTTCAGTAGATTTTCATTAAGATGTTAAATCCTGTTTTGAACACTATTACTGTTGTTTTCAGTATTATGTACAACAATAAGTAATCTCATGATCTGTTATAATTTGTTTCTGATAAAAATGATTAATTTGCTTTGGAATGAGCAAACCAAAAAATAAATTAGCAAGATTTCTGATAAAATTATTTAATGTTTTTATCAGCATTGAATTTTGAATGACTGTGTTTACATTTTGCTGTTAAAGATTTCTTCATTTCTAGGTAATATTTAAATATAGAATCAACAGTCCAAAGATATGTATATCAAAATTATCTTATTAGATAAGTGTTGTAAAATTTTTCCATATTTACAAAAGCAATATTTAAAGAGCCGTGATTAAAATCTGGCATGCTGCTCGGGTTGCACGAAATTTGCGAAAAATTGGAAAAAAATATTTTTGCAAGATGATTTTTTCGTGCACGAATATTGGCGAATATTTTCAAGTGCACCTTGAAAAAATTCTCGCCTTTACAACACTAGTAAATACTATCTTTTAGGGAAACCAAAATATTAAGTAAATAATACAAAAATTTATAAAATTGATGGATAAATATTTTTTTAGCTGTTCTCATGTCCGAAGTGGTGAAATTAATTACATGCATAGGAATAGTGTACATAGAATCAGGGGGAGTAATCAAACTGTTTGATACCATCGACAAACAAATAATCAAACAACCCATAGACACACTCAAAGTATGTGTGCCTTCTTTCGTTTACGTTATACAGAACAACCTTCTGTATTTATCGGCATCCCATTTGGATGCAGCAACATATCAGGTAATAAATACACTTCACTAAATGCTTGACGAAACAGTATAGTCAATTTTAAAGTATATAAATAAAATATATGAAATATAATTAGATAATTATTTAAAATACTATGGTTTTTTGTGTTATGCCATAGCATTTCCTAAGCCTTAGGTAGGAATCCGACACACCCTTGTTGTTCTTGGGCAAGGCTCTGTGGGCAGACATGCTATCAGCACCCCTATTGATTTCGGCTCTCATCGGTTCTAAGGTCGTTATCGATGGTACCATTCCTCAGACAATGGTGGTCCTCTGAGACGTTTTATAAATGGCCCGTTCGCATTCAATAATTCCAGACGTTTCACCTTTCTGCACTATCAACATCTCCAGTGGTGACTGCAAAGCTTCGCTGTGACAGAGTCTGATGTGAAACATTTGCAAATATTTTATGTGACAGTTGCAGACCACTATGAAATGTCTTGAATGACCGGCATTGCATGATAATGGATCCACCGTCACAGAGCCTAGCCCAAGAACAACACTGCAGGTCAAAGACTCCTTGCTAAGGTTAAGGAAAACGCATCGTGTACTTTAAAGAACAGCACGAGCGGCAAAAGCATTAAAATCACAATCCATACTTTGTTTTTGTTTTCAGGTAACGTATCAACTAAAAATTTTAACAACGGCCATGTTCTCAGTTTTCATACTGAAAAAGGAGCTGTTACGCACCCAATGGATCTCTCTTTTAACTTTGATAATAGGAGTGGTTCTAGTCCAACTTGCTCAATCTGGCGATGCACCTACTGCCGCTACCGGCCCCGAACAGAACAGATTCATCGGATTTATGGCGGCATTGGCAGCGTGTTGTCTTTCTGGTTTCGCCGGGGTCTACTTCGAGAAAATGTTAAAGGGTAGTGACGTGACCGTTTGGATGCGTAACGTCCAACTGTCGCTGTGCTCGGTACCTTTCGGCCTGATCTCCTGCTTCACCTATGACGGCCAAATTATCAAAGAGAAAGGTTTCTTTTTCGGATACGACAAATTTGTTAATTATCTGATCGTTCTTCAGGCTTGTGGGGGCCTTATAGTCGCGGTCGTTGTTAAGTATGCCGACAATATTTTGAAAGGTTTCGCCACGTCTTTGGCCATTGTCATTTCCTGCGTTGCTTCTATATACATATTTAACTTCGAACTCACGCTGCAGTTTGCACTAGGAGCCCTGTTTGTTATCTTTTCCATATTTCTTTACGGACATACTCCCAAGAAACCTGTCGCGTCTGCCGCGTATAGAGTATAGTGTTTACTGCCTGTCCAGAGGATTTTATATGCCAGTTTTATTTTATTTTTAAGGCCCCTCCCTGCCGTTATCAATATGCGAATCGTGAAGTTGTGATGATAGTCGTCTGAGAAATTATATTGACTTAACTATTTTTTAATTGTAAGTTTTATTCTTGAAGTAATATACTGCCTATACGGGGTGCTTTAAATTTGATATTTTCGCAACAAAATACTTTTCTTGCTTGTCTTAAGGCCTTTAAGTCATTATTTATGGATAGATCTGGATATTTCTTCACATTGAAAGATTAAAAATGATATTTTCATCCTTGTTCATAGTATAGACAAAGTTGGGAATAAAAACAATAGATGGTAACGGGATTTACACTAAGAGGAATTTTGAGAAAGAACGCCATCTAGTGTTTTCATTCCTAAGTTTGACTATAGCCTCATTTCGTCCATTCGAGTCAGTATTACATGAAATTTTAACATTTTAAATTATTTTTGAAACATCGACTGTCCCTGTTTGTGATTATACTTAAGTTAAAATGTATTAAAAATTGTGAATTTAATTGGTAATTCTTGATCGAGTCATATATACATACCTTTATACAAAATTATTTATTTATATAAATTCCATAACGTTATTAAGTGGTGATTGACATCTTTTTATATACTTACCTATTTATAAGTTATAAATAAAGTTTATTTTTAAAGACAATGTTTTCATCCTTGATTATGGAGAATAAATGTTACTAGGACGTGCCATTAAAAAAAAAAAATTGAAAAAGAATGGTACTTTATTTCTAGTAAGTGAACAACATTCAACAACAAATTCTTATATTCCAGTGAAAACAAAAGAACTAGAACAATCCTACAATACATATTTCTCTCCGCTAACACCTAAATTAAAAAATGAATCAATATGTGCGACAATATTTTAGTAAGCGAAGCAAAGGTCTTTATCGTGCCCAATCTTCTCTAAGTTCGGTAAACAGGCATAGTTTATCATCGGCGGAGGGCCGCACATTAATATAAGCGTGTCTTTCGATGGGGGAAAGAGGTGGTCTTTGAGCATCTCTTCGTTTATGAAACCGGAACTGTATTTCCAATCTAGGGTTTAAAAAAAAATGTTTATTTACGTATCACCAACCAAAATTAGAAATAGTTTTCTTTTATTCACAATTCTTTTTCTCAACAAAATGTTTACTAATAATGTTGTGGGGAAACAACTCTGCAAGCTACATGCACCGTCCGGCATTGAATTACGCCCCCCAATACTATTATTTTGTACCTACTGGCAGAGAGTGACCTACTGATCTGTAGGTGTTATGAAAGCATAATTGTTCCGCAGTAGGTAAAATACATTTTTTATCTATGTGCTCTATAATTATAGGGTCTATTCTGTAAGCGCCTGGGTTAAATTTGACGTATGGTTAAAATTTTAGTGGGCCCGTTAAAGTGACTGTAGTTATTCGGAAATTGTAGTTCAAACACGCTCAAACAATTTCATGAAGAAGAAGACAAAGGAAACAAAAAAAATGTCATACCAAATACCATTTCACTGGCTCTATTTGATAACTGTTAAAAATAACCATATATTTTATATAGAATACATACCTAAAAATAACGGGTGTCAAAATTTTAATCCCTTTTAAAATTTAACTTTCCTCTTACAGAATAGACCCTTTAATAGTTAAAAAAATTCATATAGTGCAAAACAAATGATGCTTTCATAACAACCGATTAATAAGTAGGTCACATTACCAGTAGGTAGAAAGTAATGCATGTGCCAGTAGGCGTTGAGTAGCAATGACATTTAAGATATGACATACTTTGTAGGTTATATCATTAAAGCATATAGTAGTATATGCTCTAAGGTTATATCTCACACACATGAAGGTCGTTCATCAAATCAGAATTTCGACAATGTGAAAAATTTTATTCTGGCAAACAGTATCTAAAATGTTAAATATTGTTGCCATAATAAATTAGTTGGTAATGACAGATATTCAAATTAATTCGATTTAAATTCAAATATCAGAATTACTTATGCGTTACGTAAACTCTTATCATAAAAAGTTATTATCAATGTTTCTGAAAACCGGGCAAAGGTTTAAAATAAATATTTGTAAGAACTGGATTTTTCCTTCTAACGAGGCGTCTGGCTGGCATTATAATTAGTGTTTATTAAATTTATTTTTAGGTTTGTATTTATAACTGCTTATTTTGATCTAGCTCGAAAAATCGGAACAAATGTACTTGGCAGAAAAACATAATAGAACCGAGATTATATCAGATTATATTATAAAAATACAGTGACCACTTTCGAAAGAAAGTCATATTTTTATTTTTATAATGGCGTATTACAACTCGCTCAAATTAAACATTATTATTATCATTGCATGTTTATCTGTAGATATATTTAATAATTAGTAACTGGGAAATTTCTCATTATAACATACTTAACATACATAACAGAATTTCAATTATTATTCGAAGTATTATACATAAATGCACTTTATTGTCTGGTGTATATGCCTGAGCACAATCATATCGTGTTGCCAGTTTGCCGATTTTTTCTTCAGTTCTAAGGATTTTTTCAATCAACATTACACATTTTTAATTTTAAATTTATGTCATTGTAAATTTCATTGTAAATAGAACTGATCTACAGTGATACAAGTATTCATGTAAATGAGATAGAAACACTTATTTTTACGTAAGTGGCAAATTTAAAGATGCTTTTCACTTTTTTAATTTTATTTTGAAGAAATAAAACTAATTCAAATAAATCAAACATTAAAAAATATATTTCCCACAATATTATTTGTTAAGAATAAATTTTTAATATCGAACAACACTGTTTGTTGAATAAAATATAATTTTTTTTAGTTATTTTTCACTATTCCAACTTTATTTATTTTTTCAATAAAATAGGGGAATTTAAGTGAAAAATGTACAAACATTTAATAATAGCTATATATATTTTTGTTAATTGGCAAAGGCGTTTTAATGATAACTGACGAAAACTTACCGGGACCGGGTCTATCCAACGTGTACCACAACTTGAACTGGTCCGCATACTTTTCCGCCACCTCCTCCAATTCCTTCCTCACAAGAATATCATCTTCGGTTTGATTCGCGAACAAAAGGGCCATCTTAGTTTTATCAGTGGGATCTTTAACGATATGCCTGACCAGCTGTAAAATGGGGGTGATACCGACACCTCCAGAAATCAAACCAACATTATTGGCCGTAATAATCACCGGAGGATCTTTGCGGAGCTTCTTGATGGAGAATTTCCCGTGGCCTAGGTATTGCAGGCGACCCGAAGGTCCACGGACCTCGATAGTGTCTCCGATTTTCAATGATTCTAAGTGCTGGGTCATTTTGCCACCTTCAGGGAATTTCGGGTGCACATTTTTGAAGTATACCTGAATTAAAGCCATGTTTATACACTAGGTATCGAAGCTGAGCAAATCTACAAACCTTTATCACCAAATCCACATAACTGTGGTCGTCATCGGACGATACTGGGGTGTAAGATCTGATTATCAATTCGTCGTTTATTTTGGCAGAAATGTGGATATGTTGCCCAATCGGGAGGCCTAAAATCTTAGAATTTTACACTATGAATCTACAGAACAACTTGGTTTTACCCAGAACCATATCTTTCTCGGGCAGAGCATAACGGAATCGCCTCGTATCATGACTTATTATTTCTCTCTCTATTAAAGGCAGTTTATATTTTACTTGTGGGTCTTCAAGGAGAAGCTTCTTAGATTTACCTAAAACGGTAACAACAACATTTGTATTAGCAATTGAAAATGTTCCAGATCTTGAAAAGTATATTCACTTTATTAATAAAAATACCTTTAGATGATGAAGACGGTTTGGAAAAATATATCTTGTATATTACTATAGATGTAATTACCACTCCTATTCCAAGGGCTAATGGCAAAATCTACAAAAGTACAGCCATTTTAAAGAAAACTGTTTGGACAGGATAAAGAGGAATTAAAAACGACATTTAAACAATGAAATAATCAGTTACTTAAGCTATTAAATGAATATATACCACTATAAATTAAAGCAAAATCATTTTAACTGACACAATTATCTAGAAAAACCAAAATATTTGTCCTAAAAATAACTGTTTCAATGATAAAAACAATAAGCATGCAATAAGATATTTGCAAAGAAAGCCACAACATGGAAACAATCCACGCCTAATTACCAAGAAAGACCCTCGTATTTTTGGGACGCTATTCATTTTTTTGCGTTATGAATTAATTCACCTTATGAAAAAAGCTGGAAAAAAATATTTTGTACAATACACAAATTAGTAGGCACATGTAACAATAAAAAATTAACAGGTACATACGCAATGACAAATTTATTAAAATATAGGTATGCAACAAAAACTACTTTAGCATGGATAGTAACACAGTATGTTTTTTAATCAATTGAAACAAAGTCAAGTGACAAATAAAGAATATTGGTATAATAGGTAATACGAGTTAATTAGATTTAACCTCAATTTGCTTGCTGTTTAATATTCATTACATACCTTCTTTTACCGGGAGTACGTATTATGTGTTAATAGGAAAATTTACATAAATAATTATGTACCTGGTCGGTCTCTTCTTTGCCCATTATTGATTAATTAGGTAGAAAATTAAGAAAACAGAAATTCGTTTGTCAGTAATTTGACCTTACACTCTGACTAGCATTACAGATAAAATAGGAATATTTTGAACTTGAGAAATCATTGATATGTCATGTTGACTTACCCCACTTGATAAATTTGCCATAATTATCTGCAATTAAACTATAATATCTATAGAATGCAACATAACATATCTATTAGAAAATTATATGCTATACGACCAGTTATCTACTATTAGTCTTGTTTTTACGCTACCCATAACACATTTACAAGTTACCTATTTACAGTATTCATTCATAGGCCTCATAGGCATAGGAGGACCAACGATCAGGGCCGTACGGGAAAAGAATTTCGTAAGTAGGGCCATTACTTTAGTCTGAACATCAGTATGTGCACTTTGTACAGAAAATGTATGTAATAATAAAACGGATTTCGAATCAAGTCTTACTTAATATAAAATTTGATTTATCCATTTATCCTATAACAAAAATTTAATAATGCTTTATAGATTTCAGAAAACGTTTTATCTTATTTTAATTTAAGGCGTTCATCAGGGAAAATTTAAGATTTAACCTTATGCAAATCGGGAGGTTCTTTGTATTTTTTATATTATCCTGAATCGTAAATATTCACCCTATCTTGGATCTTGGTAAAATTGTTCAGAACAGACTTGTCCAATAAAAATGTTCACCGATACAATACATAATAATAGCTTTGTTCTTAGAGCAATCCAAAACAGTGTCCATCAATCAGACGCATGCGCATTCCGAATAATGCTTACATAATTCAAAATTCACTGTTTGGGATAAAATGCGATAAGGTTTGTTTATTATCCCTCGATACGCTGATACGCAAAACACAGTTGTTACCCAAAATGCAAGATTTTCCCCTATGCTAATAATTGTGATAACAATTAATAAAGGGTTATTTATTATCCTCTCTTCTCTTCCCTCTTTTGAATAAATCAATCATGTAGTACTGTTGAAACTTATTCACTCAGATATTCTGTGACTTAACGGTAGTACATATTATGGTAATATATAAAGTCCAGTAATTTTTTTTTTATACAGGCTAAGCTGCTCCCCTTCTGACTACGGCGCTGCCACCGTTCTAGAAAACTTACTGGTTTTGGCACATTTACATAATTACATTGAATGTCTGTTGTTTTTTATTTCAACATCATACTTTTTGCTACAGAAAATTGTTAGGTACATAAGTGTTATGTGATTTTTCGTTTCGTTGTAAAATATTTTCTAAATTAAGTTTTCCTCAAGCGTGTTATGATCCCATCCCTTCTAATCTGTGCAAATCAGTATCATAGTTCATAGACAGGTCTTGAAACGAATATGCAGTGTTGCCAGATGGAAATTTCTGTCAACAGTAGAAATGTAGCCAAAAAAACAGATTTCTTTTTTCAACAGGAGATTTTAATAAATATATTTTTTAATAGAGGAACACATGCACAAAATATAGCAAAATATTATATTTATATAATATATAAATGTAGGAGTTCGTTTAATAGTTTGCAATTACATCGGTACGTCACGTGATTTGACAACTGTCAGTTGTCAAAATAAAAAATCCCAGAATCCCGCTGAAGTAAACGAACGAAACGAAACTAGTGATGGGCATAATCGACCAATTTTGATAATCGAGTTATCGGTAATCGAGTACTTCTAATAATCGAGTGATCACTCGAGATACGAGATATTGGTCGTTTTCATCCCAGCGGCGCACAAATATGTTTGTATTAGTCATATATTACTTATAAGCGTAGCTAAAAAAAAAAAAAAAGCTCACGCACTTCAAAACCTAACCACTTTTTCGTTTTATTCTAAAAAAGGTTACGCAATCAGTAACTATTTGCAGTATGCACTGACATTTTGGGGTGCAACCGTAGGGTAATAATCACTCGAGTGGTGGGAGTAAACATCTCGAGATATCTCGAGTGATCTCAATAATCGAGTACCACTCGATTTTTCACTCGAAATCTCCCATCACTAAACGAAACGCCTTCTGTTAGGCCCAGTTCATATAAACGCGAATTGCGGATTTAAAATTTAAATATGTACATGAACTGCAAGATCAGTAAAAGATCTTGCATGAACTCGGCTACAGAAAATATAACAGGACTGAAAATATTAACAAGTGACGAACACAGTGCCGTTAGAGAACAGTGTCGTACTAAAATATTCTTATTCTGAGGAAAATTAGTATAATCAACAGAAGATTTCATAGAGAAACCAGAAGAATAGACATTGAGACTAAAAACAGGAGATCTCATTGTGAAAACAGTAGAACAGGAGAGTGAGAGTGAAAACAGGAGATCTCCTGTTAAAACAGGAGATCTGGTAACACTGCGAATATGAACGAATTACTTTTCTCAATCGATTTAAAATTCAACACAGTAATAAAATTCATATTAGGCAATTGATTATTATTCATACGTATATATAGTGTTGCCTATATTCAGATTTTCAGTACATCAACCTAAATTTTAAGGTCCTACTGGTCCTAACCCTAGATAAATGATACTGTCCTAACATTTGAGAAATTTTCAGATATTTTTAATTATTTACTTTACCGATTATTTATTATTTTAATACATTTTTTTAGTATCGAGAGTGTTATTTCAAAGGATAATAAGCTGTAGCGGGCGTAAGACCGTAGATCCGCTACATTCGTAATAGGAATTAGGCATGTTCTTTGCGGGTATGGTAGGATGAAAGAACGTTGGCTTGGGTCAATGTGAGAGATTGGTACTGATCAGTGTTTGAGCACCTGCCTAATTAGTGAGGTTTTTCAGGTTTTCCTCATTACTGCACTGTTGGTGGTACGTTGTTCTTCGGCACACATGCGGCCTACTGGATAATACTTAATAATAATGTACCGCCCCCTCTCCCGCACAAGTTTTCTAATTCTGGGCCAACCCTTGCAATTTGAATGAGGAGTAAAGGTATTATTATTATAAAGAATAAAGACTTTTAATTTTATTAAAGGTGTATTTAGTGGGTGGTAAAATTTACATATAAAATAGTACGAAAATTTTATCTATACAATAAATTACGTTCTGTAATGATTTTCCTCAATTTTATATAAACATATCAATATACACATTGTGTGACGCAAACAAGAATTAGTGTAAATTTTTTAATTCTACATGAAATTACACACTTACAAATTCAAGACGTCTAGCAATCCATCTTACTGATGGCAAATGCAATTAGGAAAAAGAACGTATGACGAGCCGCTTAAACGTTTGAATAAAACATCCAACATTAAATGTTAGAAATTAATGTAACAATCATATGTTGTGACTCTGAGAAACTAATATCGAGGGAGAAATTGAAAGAAGAACGTTGAATCCTCCGTGTAGTACGCAAACCCTTTTCACGTTGCATTTCAGTAAAAACGTCGGAAACTGCAAAAGAAGTGATAATACATGTCATAAATTCAAATTGTTTAGATATTCCTTACTAATTCCAAATCGGTCTCTTCGTTTCCAATAACGACAACAGTTTTACCTCTTGCGTTCTTCAAAGCCGAGCTGTGCTGACCAACGTTTTCAATTTTATTCTCGCCGAAAGAAACACTGGAAAATGGGATGTTGACGCTACCGACTACAGAGGATCTGTTAAACCTAAAAGCAGGACGCATTTCCGTAAATTTATAGCCAGGAAAATAAATATAACACTCACTGGGTTAAGTTCCTTATATCTACCAATAAAACTTGGTCCGGGTGGTTTCTAATTAAACTAACGACATCCGTTGCACTTATCCTCGGACACCTTTCTCTCTTTAAATCATCTAACGCAACTCCAGATATGTCCTAAAATGTCTTTTTTAATGAAACGAGTATTTATACAGGTTGGTTTTTAAGTCGGAGGTTTCTCTTTGACATGACGTAGGACTCAAAAAAGTAAAAACATTTTTTAACACAGTTTTTCAAAAATAATAAATAACCTTTAACCTAATTTAAATAAGCATGAACCTGACTAAAGAAGATTGCTTTCATTCACACAAACTATCATTCGGGGTATCCACAACTTGGTGCATGCTGTTACAAACGGGCCTTTCCGAGAATTATTGATTCCGTTGTAAATAAAATTTGCCTTATCTGTTACTAGAACAAATTTGTACTGTGCGTGTTTTGTTGTACTATTTTAGGATGGGCTTAAAGCATTAAAGCTTAATGTGAATAATGTTGATTTTCACTCTTCGACCTGAAGCTTACTGGTTGGTCTAGGTCTTTCAGCATATCCAGCTGTTGGTATTTTGTTTCTCAAGCCCTTTCAATGACAGGGACAAACCTATGAGCCTAGGAATGAAATGACAAAGAAAAACGCTCGGCATGCAATTGCGATGCTATGGCTACATTTTGATAATACTCTCGGCAAACCAATATATCAATTAACTCATCACCACTGTAAATATCGACCATTTTCATCACATGTACGATTTAAAACTCAAATTACCACTACTATTATGAATGGTTGCTTAAGACAGAGACAAAAAGAAAATAAAAATTGAACCACGATTACTATACCACATTTTGTTAAGACTATCAGTTATTAGTACAGTGAAAATCGGTTATAACAACTTTCAAGGGACCATTTGTTTACGGTTGTTATAACCAATACACGTAATAAGCAATTACATATATTTTATTTAAAATTTTTATAGAAAAAATGAGAAATTTACAATACAAATCTTCTTTAAGTATGTACATGTATTGCTTTGTGTTCAAAAGATCAAAATATATTTATTTAAAAATCAGTTGTTCGTTATTTGAAAAATCGCTCGGACCCGTCGAATTATATGTTTAGTTGCGCATTTTCTGAAGCAATTTTCATTTATACAGGGTGGCCCAAAAAAGTGTTACTTTTTTAAATGTAGACCCCACTTTTTTGTATTTTTATTCAATTCTCCATGGAATTCTGATCATTTCTTATGTAACATAACCTATACCTATCTTCAACCGTTTTCGAGATAATGGCGTCTGAATATAGAATATGGAACATTTTCAAAAATTACTCTGAGATTTACCCTGCTGGTTTTAAAATAAAACGACGTTTACTTTTCCATCTTAGATTTGTGTGGTTCACAGAAAGTTACTTCAAATCAGAAAAATCCATAAGACATAAGTGGTTCGGTGATTTATTTTGATCATTAGGACGCAATGACTAGAATGTAAGAAATATAAGTGAGGTATTTAGGTATAATTTAATTAAAAACGCATATTGGATAAAATATGATTTTGTTAAATGTCACTATTTAAATCACGAGCCAGGTTATTTTGCAAATTTTTAGCACCGTTTCATGTTTTTTGTAAAGAACAAAAAATTAAAAAAACTTCAGAAAAACACGCATTGTAGCCTATTTAATATTTAGTGGCTTGACGACGGCTACAATGCGTGTTTTTCTGGAGAGTTTTTTAAGTTTTTTGATCTTTACAAAAAAATATAAAACGGTGCTAAAAATTTTCAAAATAACCTGGCTCGTAATTTAAATAGTGACATTTAACAATCATATTTTATACAATAAAATTATGCGTTTTTAATTAAATTATACCTAAATACCTCACTTATATTTTTTACTTTCAAGTCATTGCGTCCTAATGATCAAAATAAATCACCAAACCACTTATTTCTTATGGATTTTTTTATTTGAAACAACTTTCTGTGAACCACACAAATCTAAGATGGAAAAGTAAACGTGGTTTTATTTTAAATCTCAGGGTAATTTTTGAAAATTTTCTTTATTCTATATTCAGACGCCATTATCTCGAAAATGGTTAAAGATAGGTATAGGTTACGTTACATAAAAAAATGATCACATTTCCATGGAGAATTGAGTAAAAATTCAAAAAAGTGGGCTTTCCATTTAAAAAAGTTGGCCTTGATTTCATAACTTTTTTTGGGCCACCCTGTATAAATCAAAATTGCTTCAGAAAATGCGCAACCAAATATAATTCAACAGGTCCGAGCGATTTTTCAAATAACGAACATCTGATTTTTAAATAAATATATTCCATACTTTTGCCGCTCAAGGTATAAAAACGTGTCGCTAAATCCGAAATGTCGTTGTAAACAGTGTCGTAGTAGACAACATTTTTAATATGGTATTTCTATACGATTAAATCGGGACTTCCAAATTCCGTCGTTATATACAATATGTCGTATAAAGCAATGCCGTTATAACCATTTTTCACTGTATTTGAATTGAAGATTTTTCACAAGGATGCATTCAAAATATTTTAAATAGCGTTTCTGTGATTTTTTAATAATAATAAAATGTTATTTGGAAATTTTCCCTACTTTGTCGAGTCCTACGTCGAATTGAACCGAAGATCCCAACTTAAAAACCTCCTTGTATAATAATAATCACTTACATATTCATTCTTTTTACAGAATTCCTCGTTCTCGTGCTCCCTCGCCGTTATGCTTTTCGGGGTCAATTGAAATGTATTGGTAGACAGGGTGACACACTTTTCAATATCGACTTCCGGTAGATCGGAAAACAGTAGAATGCACTCGTTAAATCCAGAGTTTAACAATCGATCTCTGAGCTGTGTAAGAACGGACAGTCCTATGTGTAACGAATACGACGAATCTCCCAACAGCACCTTGTCCCACAGGTGTAGGATTTTGTAGAGAGGAAACACATCTAAAAATTTTTAAAAGATGCTACAATTTTAGGAGGAAATAAGCAGTTTGTAACACTCACGTGAGAAAAGTGTCAGAAACCAGGGAATGGCGAACAGCTGGGGGTAGAAGTTTATTTCGTACAGGTGGTTGGCAAGAGCCGGGTCGTGAAATGCTATAAGTTGGGAGAACTTTGCCAGATATTCCTCGATGACCATAGAGTTGTCTTTGAGGAAAAACTTGTGCAAGTATTTTGGCACAAATTCGGAGAGACACGCAAACGCTTTGGCTGTATAGAACAAATTCACAAATAAATTGAGAAAAAACACCTATGGCCTTTTAAAGTTAGAAATATTGTACAGGAAGGGCCAGTTTAGACACTTTTGGGAAGATTCTCCTATTTTTCGACGAGATAGAAAAGAATTAGTTATGACAGGTTCGATTTCGAGTCCATGACATCTTAAAATTTTGTCTACCGCCTCAAGAAATAAGAGAAATGCCCAAAAATATTGATATTGGTCCACTCGGTACATTGCTTTAAATACGATTAAAGAGAAACTATAATTGCAGACACTGCATACCTTCGTCATTAAAATTGAGATAAATAAATGGAGCTGTGAGAGAATCCAGCCCCTGCCAGTATACATACTGGGTGTTTTTGTAAACCCAAGCCTTCAGGATCCTCTTTAATTTCTTGTGTCCCTCGGTAGAAGACAACAATTCGTTGTACTGGTGGCACCTGGGAATGTCTACTTCTATCTACAAATATTTATTATTCAGGACATACTTTTCTAGTTTTTCCTAGTGCATTTTTTATATTTTACAAACGAACTAAAAAAAATTGCAACCTGTCTATCGGTTGCTGTGGACGTAGTTTTATCAATCCTCAAATACTGTTTCTTGTAATCCCCTTTAACGTGCAACAGGGCAGCCCAAATTTCTCCCCTAAGCAGAGGAGGTATGTCTTTTTCGGCCTCTTGAACGATTAGGTCCCGCGTAAAGGGGTATCCCTTAAAAAAACTAACTATTTTCAAAATTCACAGGCATATAACGAATCTGCTTACATGTAACAATCTGCGGAGCAATATCACCCGATGAAATTGATATTCCGGGTCCCTTTCTTTGATGATAAGAGGCAAACCGCTGGCGTCGTACGGTGGAGGTTCGATCTGTGCTATTATGTCGGATTTACACTGAATTAAGGGGTAGTAGCAGACAAACGGAATGTGTTCAAACCTCTGATATAGAGAGTCCAGAGGCATTTTGACAATCCGTGGATCGTATAAGGTGGCTGGGTTTCTTTCTTGACCCAGCACGTTTCCTTCAATTAGAACTAAACTGCAAGAGAATTTGCAAGTTTATAGAATATATGAATACGACGGCACAACTGTGAAGCAGAATATAAACAAGTATTATTTAATTTTTAAAACGTAACTATTCCATCTTTCTCTTTCTCTCTATAATATTCATTATAATAGGTATTTTAGGTCTAGACAGGCTGAAGGACTTCGACCAATGTCCTTTTGGTTACAATTATTTTAAATGATAAACTTTATTTTTATAATAAATACGAAAATCTGCTAATAAGGACGGAGACTTCTCTGAAAAAATTTTTAAATATGGCAAAAATCTTACTGTGGGAGAGACAGAATCGGCGGACTAGATCTTATAAGTCCCTGCTTTTTAAGTTCTTGCAAAACGTCTCCTCCGGCAAGCTGCCACCAGTGGTACAATTCATTGATGGTGAAAATTTCGTAAGGTTCGAAGAACCTTCCCTTTTCTATTTTCCCCAGATTTTTATATTCGTTGAACATATCTTTTTCAAGCAGCTCATCACAAGTCGGTCTATCTTTTGGATAAATGCTTAGGCAAGAATCTATAATATTTTTTAATTCTTCCGGTAGTTCCTAAAAAGAAATTAAAGACAGAATATTTCTTCATGAAGTATTCCTTTAAAACTTACCGAATATAATTCATAGCAATTATGTTCTCTAGCTATTCTTTCAAATATCGAGCCGTTAGACTGCACAAGACTCAATATTTTTCGTATTCGTTGACCGAGTTTTAAGGAATGCCACAAATGTTTCTTTAAGGCCAGTTCAGCTAAAATTATGCCTACTGACCATATATCCATTTTTGGATAAGCAAAATTACTCTTCGGGCTATCTAAATACACTTCTGGAGCTGTATATAATATTTGCCTAAAATATTAAATTTTTCAAAAGAAAAAAAAAGTTGACCCCGACGTGATTTGAACACGCAACCTTCTGATCTGGAGTCAGACGCGCTACCGTTGCGCCACGGAGTCACACAAACTTTGGTTATTAACTTACAATAAAAGTGTCACAACGTAACCTCAAATTTATCACAATCAACTTATGAAAACTTACATTATAGGAAAAGACACTAATTTCCCATTGTCTGTCATATAATATAATCCATAATTAAATAATTTAACATTACCATCTTGCAATAGGACATTATCGCTACTCAAATTTCGATGGACGATTTTTCTGTTGTGGAGTTCTTGTAAACCTGATAAAATTTGAAATCCAATTTTTTTTATTTCATCAATACTGAACTTTTCTTTTTCAATATAACTGGATAAGGGAGTTCCACAAAATTGCGATACAACTATTGTTCTTTCTAAAACAAATATTCTGCAATTCAACGCAAAGTTACATGAAATTTTCTTCGTTACTTGCCATGTTTACCCCTAATTATATCTAAATACTGACACAGGTACGGATTCCTTATAGTTTTTAGGATTTGGGCCCTGCCATATATTATAATAGAGTTTGGAGTGAGAGGTAGACCATTACTTCCACAAGTATCTTCCTTATGCTGTTTTGCGAAGAAAGTAATGGCTCCGAACTGCATTTGAGGATTTTTAAGAAGTGCCACCGTCATTTTGAAATCACATTAATTATTTTTATAACAAAATTAACTATTGTCTTGATATTGCAAAAGAGCTTTGTACTTAGACACTAATGCAATATATTTAAAAAATCACTAGCCGGTAGATAAATCTTTATATGTTTAAACTGTTCAGTTGTTACATTTTATAAATAATTCTTAAATTCAATTACCCTACAACTCCATGTTTATTTTCATCGCCCCTTTAAAACTGACATTGACAATTTGAAAATAGTGTGAAGATAGGTGCGATGCAGTGCTATTTATAAATTTCTTTTTCTTTTCTCATTAGTTCAAAACGACAACTCTCATTTCAACCCTTAAAAAAATTATAGGGTGGACCAAAATATTTTACTTAGATTAATATTTTTATTCAAAACAGTCCTTTTTGATTTCATATTTAAAATATTAAGCGAAAAGTAACCCTGAAAACTGTTCAAATTTGATGTAGAAAAAAAAACAATTATATTTCCAATTTTTTTTACATAAATATTAAACGCTAATTATACTAATCGCTCATCCAGATTACGCTTGTAATTCCTTAGAGTACAGCAATGCTAATCTGTAAAAAATAATGAATTGATTTGCTGTTACATATTTAATTTCGTAGCAGAGGATTACCTTCTATACGACATTTTTTTATTAAGTTTCTTTAAAACTTCTTGAGTTTTACAGTACACGCTATCACAATTTGCTCGACTTCCTTTAGTTTTTGAAAAATTTTCTATCGCTTCCGTTACATAGACAGCTAAATTATTCAATTTTTCATCATATCCTGAAATTATAATTGTAAAAATTTAATTTGAAATTTTAACCCTATTCTGAATAACTCACTTGATATTTTTGTTCTCATCATATCTTCCTCATCAGAATAATTGTCGCCGCCACCGCCACCCCCACCTCCACCTTTGTGCTTCAAAGCAGGAATGAACAGTAGCAAGCAAATGATCGCAATGAAACTGACGATTTTTTTAAAGATTATCAACTTTAGCAGAATCTTTCCGATGGTGAAAAGGTCCAGTTTATATTTAAGCTTATCCCAGAAGCTGAACATCGCGTGCGGCACCCCATAAAACACCTGGACAGAAGAAGAAGCAGGGCCGTAAGCTGGGGAAGGGGCTGGGGGTCCATATACTGGGGGTGGATTTGGAGGACCGTAGGCAGGAGGAGGAATTGGAGGGCCATAGTTTGGTCCCGGAGGACCATAAGCTGGTCCCGGGTTTGGTGGACCGTATCTAAAAAAATTAAGAACAATTTAAAGTTTTAACTCTTGGATTAACTGTGAAACAATGTAATTACTGTTGATTTATTCGTTTTGATCCGTCGAGGAAATGTAACATGAATACTTTGCAGTAGTAATCTATGTCGTGTGTTTAGTATGCAGCTTGCAAAGAAGTATTTATAGTAAAACTCTACCATTATGGAATATTTATTAAGCTTCCGATACTATCTTATGAAATTGACTTATAATTGACATAAACTGATCTATTAAATAGTTTATAACAAATATAAATTTAATTAACAACATAAAAGTTATTTTATTAGCATTTATACTTGATTAGATAAAAATGTCGCTGTCAAAAACATTCCCGTCGTTTTCGATGTCGGATGTATACTACTGGATGTATATTCGTATTAAAAATATTATTTTAGATAAAAAATTTAATACTTTTTTAAATTAATGATTTATGTTCATTGACAAAAACTGTTTTATTTACTGGCGTTTATTTTAGGATTCCATTAATCTTATTTGTATCTTCTCATTCACTCTGCTTCTATTAAAATTTAAAAGATTTTACTTTTCATATAAGTACCTACATCACAAATACATGTTCCAGTACCTATATAGCTCGCAGAGTAGTTGTTTCCCGCAATACAGTTACTTCAAATATATTTTTTGCAGTTTTAACAATCAGTCAACATACTCATATTTATAAAAATATGCCAAAAGTATTATTTTCCAATAATAAATTCGATTCTAACTCACTGTGGTCGTGGAGGACCATAATTATAATCTGGTGGCCCATATTGCGGCTGGGGGTTGGGATAAGGGTATCCGCCAGGTTCCACGAACTCTCTATCAGTTTTCTTCACAGCATCATCCAGTAACGCATTTACACTATCACCCCGGGTGGCTTTATACGCCTCCAAATACGAATCAGTTCCCGCGACTCTAAAAACTTTTTCTTCTTCATTGTAAACCGAGTCCACTCCTAGTATGCAGAGGATTAATACCAGCCGCCACATGGTGACGAATAAGTCGTCAAGTTAATACTGAAAGAAAAACTTCTTTTGTAAATAGCTCACCTCGATGTCGCCCTAGTTTATGCATTTTGGCGATTGCTTTGATATTCATGACAAATGCGTATAGTGCCTGCTACGATTCTGATCGGGGTAATTGGTATTCCAAAAGACGCGCGTCGTGAGAAATGCGGACGCGGATGTGATTCGATTTGCATTATTTTTGGCACCCTTGTTAGCTTGGCGGTACACATATTGTCTTTACTTTTATTTACTGTTATAAATTATCTACCTTGGTAGAGCATATCCACTATATTCAATAATCTGGGCACACAAAATAAATCATAATGTATAAAATTTATTTGTAAACCTGGAGACAATTTCGCACAACACAAAATTCTAAAATCATAGCGGTTTCAATATTTTAAGTTATATCTACCAAATAATAACCAGAATTATACTGTTTTAATAACACTATTTATTTTTTTTAAATGTAGATAATTCATTTTTATGGAATTTTCGGTTAGGAAATAATTAAATAATTTTTTTAGTATCCAAAAAATATTTTGAATTTAATGCATATTTTAACAGGTTAGTCATATATATGCATGAATTATACATATACCCTAGTGCAAACATTTTATACGTTTTTTTGTAAAATTATATCGGTAATAAAATGGTTACTTAACGTGTTGAAAAACAAAATATAGAAGAAGAAGAAGACAAGCTTGTTTCCTCTAGTGTAGTTCTTTTGACACTAGATCTCATCTACGCATAAAGAACTGAAGTGAACTGAACCATGATACCTGAGCGAACAGAAACAATAGTAACATATGTTCTGTGCTGTTAGTGACATTTTGTTCATTTGTCAGATACGTATAAATAAATCATTAATTAATTTGTTGTCAAGTACGTGTTTGAAAGGAAAGTTGTATTAGTTTCTCATCAGTAATTTTACTTGTTATATCGTAGAAATCCGTAAGTAGTGGCTAATTTGTTCAAATTTGGAGTAGATTAATATTTGACTTACTTTTAGGAAAATGGGTTGTGACGGGGGTACCATTCCTAGAAGAGATGAACTTGTAAGAGTGAAAAAGAAGCCAGAGACCAAAGATAAAGACTCAGAACTTGGTTTTAAGTGGAGGTGTTGCTCAATTACTCAAGAAATCCTTCAAGAGCCTGTAGTTGCGTGCCATCTGGGAAAACTATATAGTAAAATGTCCTTGATTGAGGCTCTTCTCGATCGTAGCACTTTGTCTCCAGAATTCAAACACATAAAGAGTTTGAAAGATGTGAAAGATCTAAAATTAACAAAAAATCCGGAATTTGGTAAAGACGAGAGTAGGAGAGCTGCACCTTATATTTGCCCAGTGTTAGGTTTGGAAATCAATGGTACATTCAGATTTGTTGCTCTTTGGTCATGTGGATGTGTTTTCTCTGAAAGAGCTTTAAAAGAAATTGGTACAAAAAATTGTCACAAGTGTACAAAACCTTTCGAGGAAGACGATGTTGTTATAATCAATGGAAATGAACAAGATTTAGAAGTTATGAAAGCTCGAATGGAAGTCAGGCAACAGAAAAATAAGAAAAACAAGGAAAAAAAGGTTAAAGTCAAGACAGAAACAGATGAAAGCAATTTACCTACTAGTACAAACCTAGAAAATGGTGAAAATGTGTCAAAAACATTGAAAAGGGCAGCAAACGGTTTGAAATCTGAAGAAAATTCAAAGAAACTAAAAACAGAGTCAACTTCTTTGTCTAAAATTGGCAACATTATAGCTTCTGGAAAAGTTACTAAAGCTGAAGAAGTTAGAAAAATGAAGTCTGATTATAGTGTTGCTAAGGATAAAAATGCTTCGGACGTTTATAAGTCCCTGTTTACAAGTCACAAGTCTGAAAAGGAACAAAACAGAGCACACTGGGTCACATATAATCCTTTTTATAATTAATTGGTAAACATACGTAATTTTATTGCCTATTATTTGTAATGTTATTCATTTATATGTCTGTATTAGAGAAACTAGGTCACAGCAATTAAAAATAAAACACTCATAAATAAAAATTTTATTACAATAAAAACTATGACTTCTTTTTTATTTTTATATATTCAATACCCTTTCCATAGACAAACGCATCAAAATCACTATTTTCAAAACAACACAGTCCCTGCAAATCAGCAACAGCCGTATTGTATTTGGTAATATATTTACAAATTAATTTTTCATCTAATAATTGCCATTCAAAAATAGCAATCCTTTGATCGATAGAAGCCGTTATAAAGTATTTATCGCTTAAAAAAACACCTGTTATTTGGGCACAGTGTGTTCCACTATCAGTAAAAATGTCAATATTGTCGATCGTAACACTAGTTTTGTTTTGGAAACGAACTAAATTTAAAACGATCGCATTGTCATCACCCCCAGTTAAAAACAAACATAAATTGTCGTTTAGTAATTTATAATCGTAACTGTTTATACCCGACTGATGTGACTGAATACTGTGAAACCATTTTATTTCACTTTTACTTCTACAAATGTTAGACATATCCCAAAAAACTAACTGTCCGTCTGTCGCCATTGTAGCAAAGATATCACGAGAAAATATGTTGATTTTGCACAATTTCAAAATACATCTAAGTTTATAAAATACATCTCGATAAAACTTCAAACAATATTTTCCAGAACTATCCACATCGATAAAAAATATTTTGATGTTTCCGTCTGAACACGCTGCAAATAACAACAGTTGGTTTTGTATACTGGTCACGACTAAGTCCATGATTCTCATTTCTGATTCTTCACAGTCGATGATTTTATAGTACGAATGTTGTTCACTGCAAATAACATCCTTTACGGCACTTTCTGTAGTCAACACTTCTAGTTTCCAACAAATAATTTGCGCCCTACCACCTCCCGAGAAAACTAAATACGTTTCATTGTTACCACCACTTTTTTTAACTACTTTATATGTTGCTATGGTCCTTATACTCGATAGATGAGGCTTTAGTGAAACGAGACTAATAAAATTATTTTTGGTATGTAAATTTATTCTTAAAGTTGTGTCTTCACCGCCAGACACAACGACATAGTTATCGAAAACTTTAATGATCTTCACAGAGTTAATTTCTTTCACTTGAAAGCTTTCTATTAGATCAACGGGAGAGAAATTATTTAAAATTAAATCTACGTGAATTTTTTTGTCTTTTATGTAACTGAACACCACCTTGTTATCTGTTCTGTGAAAATCCCAAGATCTGTGTCCCCCTCCACAAGACTTCTCAAAAATAACTCTTTTAGCTTCGTGATTCCACAAAACAAACTTATCTCCTGAAAACGCCAAGAGTAAATCTCCAATAATGTTTGCAAGCCACATAAACGGCAATTTATTTGAGGAGTTTAAATGTAACCTTCCATTTTTTAAAGTAAATGTTTTTATTGTAGCGTTTCTGCCTAACGATGTTAATTTATTGTTTTCCATCATCAAACTGGTAACTCCCAAGTAGCTGTGTACCTTCTTCAAAGTCTGGACTGCTTCTAATCTTCCAAGTTCAAATAAATGCAGGTTTCCTTTTCTATCACCAACCACAAAGTTTTTTTCCGTGAATACGGCAGTGGTGCTCCACCTTTCCTTACTAGGAGGCAAAATAAAATTTGAAAGAGGCACTACATTATTATTTTTTAACCCATATACGGTCATTATTCCTTCAGATTGACAGGTGAGGAAAGTTGTACAGCTTATCCAGTGCAAGGAAAATATTCTGGACTTAGTTTTTGTTTTGTAGGAAACGATTTCATGTAGTTCGTCGTTTTCTTGTTTATAAATGTAAATTTGTCCATGAAAACCCGCCAGTGCAACTAAATTTCTACACTTTGACACCACCACTACACAGTAACTTTTCAAATCATAGTGTTTATGTACTTGAACCCATTCCAGCCTCTTCTTAATATAGTAATAGATAGTCCCACTCTCAGAAACAACCACCAAGTTATTATTCGCCAAAATTGTTAAATTTTTCGGAACCTTATCCGGTATTGATAATGTTTGTTCTTCAAAGTTACAATTTATAGGAAACAAAGTAGCAGCACAATCACTACTACCTATCAACATAATATTATCGTTTTCATCAGCGTCAATTGCCCATACGGGACCGCCTTGGCTGGTTTCTATTTTTCTAATTAATGATCCATCAAAAGTCCAAATGTTTAAAAGAGAATCTTCTCCTACTGTTAAAAAACACTCTTGTAGAATGTGACATCGAAATATCCTTGAAAAGTGACCAAAAACGTGGCAGGTAATATTTATTTCAATATTCTCTTGCTCTAATTCAGTTAACAGATTTTCGTTTTTAGGTTTCCATACTACTGCTGAACGGTCGTCTGAAGATGAGCAAATGTAATTCGAAACTTCATTGTAATGCACAGAAAATATAACCCCCTGAAAATAAATACATTCATATGCAAGCCAAAAAAAGTTGTCAGTACAAACCTTATGTTTCTGCAGTCTTTTTAGAACGAGGCTTTCTCCATTTTTATCTGGTCTCCAAATTAGAACTTCACTAAATACGGTCCCAGATAAAATAACTAGTTCTTCGAATCTATCGCCGTAAATGAATGCACTGTATAAAATACACTTCTCTTCACTACTTATTTCAGTAATACCTTCTAAATCTGTATTCCAAATTTGTAATCTATTATGAATTGATACTGTAACAATTTGTTGATAATTATCGGTCCACTTTGCGGCTAAAATCCAGTCTGAAGCAATTTTACATGCAGATTCATTAACGCAAGTAAAATTTTGGTCAGTCGTAATAACTTTTAGATATCTACCACCATATAACAAAATCTTGTTTTCATCTGCGTCAGGAATAATTTCATAAATTTTTTGCCCTTCAAACACGTATATTTTTGTAATTAATTTATAGGTGTTTTTGTCGAAAACATGTAGATAACCTCCAACACCTAAAAAGAGTAATAATGCAAAACATTTTTTTGATTGCTTCATACTTACGAACCAACTAAATAATAATTTCGTAGAATTTTTACAGCTGTTACATCTGTTTTAATGAACTGAGATTCAAAATAAAACATTTTTCTAAATTACAAAATAACATAACCTCAATTTTACGCATGTTTGACATATTGGTAGTTCCAAAATACCTTTAGCAGAAGTAGAAAGTAGGTCATTTCACCACGTTCTATGGCCAAAAGAAAAAAAATTTTGTAGCTTTATTAAATGAAAAAATTGATCAATCTATAAATAAGTTTATTTAATAAGAATGAAGTGTAAAGGCTGAATTACTATCATTTTTGAAAAGTATTAAGAACTTTATTTATAAAAATTTAAAAAAATCTCCTCACTTGCGCCATCTACTAACATCTAGCTAAACTAAGCATAAACAATGCATTTGAAATTTGAATCAACCTGCCGCCATGATTTAGATGGGTGTTGAGTATTTCGATTTACCTAATTTGTTAGGCTTGTATGTTGCTAATAAAATAGTGAGTGAACCATAATTTGAAACAATTTTTCATGACAATAACTTGCAAATAATGCAAATAATTTTTAGTGGTCTTTTCTGTACAAACAACTCCAAATGTTAACATTTAAAATTAGTGTTTTCTACATACCATCAACAAGCAGTAGGCAGCTACTACAAGATTTTGGTGAGTCAAGATTTTAATCATTAAGTAATGATATTGTTGGAAATAGGTATTTTTGCGAGCTACATATTTTGTACCAGTAGACATTGAGTAGCAATAATATGTAACATATTGACATACTTTGTAGGTTATATCGCACTCACACTTGTATTATATGTTTTGTGCTTCACACTGTAATTTTTAACTTTAAACATTTTGTGGAATTTAGTTGGTAACGAAATCAAGAAGCATCTTACTATAGCATGAACTTTATTGTTTGTTTATTTACAATAAAACATTGTAGATGCAATGAAAATTAAACATAAATAAACCTTACAAAACCGTAATATAAAAATACTGTCTCAACTCAGACTTACAACAATAATTCCTAACTTAAAACTATTTATTTATATTAAAATTACTATCTAGAGTGTTGACTGGTTTATACTCTACATAACTGAGAAATAAAAATGATGTAAGACTAAACGGGTGACCCAAAAACAGATTTTTTTATATTTTAGTGTCACTATTGTTTCTCCAATTTTGCGTAAAAAAGAGTTATAGCTAAAACTCGTTAAGAGGCGCCAATTTTTTGTTCGTTCTTTTTTGTAGTTTCACGATTTAAAAATTCGAATCGATTTGAATAACGATGTATTTTTAACATGTTTTTAGCTGTAATTCAATTTTTCACATATGAAAACCCAAGAGTCTAAAAATAGATGCAAGTTTTTTGCATTACCCGTTACGTTAAACTTGCCTATAAATTCATTACATACTACTTCACTTCATAGAAGTGACATCATATGAAAATTTCTACATTTTTAAATTCGTAACAAGAATATTCTTCTACAATTTTAGAAGGAACAACTCAACATTCTTAGTAGTACAAACTGACAATCTCCTTAAAAGAAAACCTTCGTTTTTGTGAACGGTAAATGCAATCGAAACACATAATTTAATTATTAGTTATTTTATTGCAGTGATAAAGATATGTATATTAGTATTAAAATTGGGTAAATACACATAAACTGGATATTATCAAAGGAAAAATGATGACAAACGCAAGTTAAAAATACCAAAAGCCTTATGTATTATCGAAAGGATTAAGCATAGCTAGAATATCTTCAATTGTATTTCTACAATAATAGTATAAATTACATAAATGTTTATAAATAGCTATACATAGGTATTTACAGGATACACTTGTAAACTAAAACGAGATACATTTTACTATGTCCGGTGAAAACACGCAAGTTGCGTCGATTGCGGATAGTTACGGTGAAATTATATTTTGAGTATTTAATCTCCCAATCAACCGCAAATCTCATGTTTCACTTTAATAAAAAAAAACTGTGAAATGTTCCACAATAGTTATACATTACATTTCCATACCACAAATAATAATATGTAATATATATGTGGTTTACAGTGATTGTCCGTAAATATTATAAAAAAGACATGTTTCCGGTCCACCAGGCGAGCAAAAGAACTTTTTTTTATTTTTAATAGTCAATACTTCCAAATTTTGCAACACAAACAGTACAAAAAAATATGCAAGGCAAAAATGATCAAATTATGGATTAATAATTTGGTGCTAGTATTAATACTATTGACAAATTTTAATATCCTTGTTTATAAACAAAATAGTTAGCTAACGAGGCAAAATATTACAAGCAAATAAAATCCCTATCTTCCTTTAGATATGAATAACGATGACAGGGATTTTATGAGCGAGGCGCCATCTAGCGTTGTCATCCACAAGCTCAATCGGTTGATAACTAAATTGTTGTGAAAACATTGATAAAAACGGTAAAGGTCAAGATTTCTAAATAAAATCGAGAGTGGTAATGACGAAAGATGAATTTAATACTGTACGTTGTATTCAAAGCTGAAATTATCAAGTTATGGATAGATTTGGTGTTACATAGTATTAGAAGCTTTGAAAAATTTCAGTACGCATTCCATTATTTATAAACAATATAAGCTGTTTCATAGCATAAATAAGGGTGACAGGCATTTTGTGTGCTGCCATCTACTATCTGGTTCGTTAACTATAGCCCTTTTCTTTTATTCATGATTTCAAAATCATGACGCGTTACGATGCGAAATCTAGCAACCTGTTTGGTTGATCGTAACGTGTTATGATTCCGAAATTATGAATAAAAGAAAAGGGCTATAGTTAACGAACCAAATAGTAGATGGCGCCACACAAAATGCTTGTCATCCTTATTTATGCTATGAACAAGGGTGGCAGGGATTTTATGAAAGTCGCCATCTAGTGATATCATCCTTAAGTTTGACAGAATGTTGCATAAACAAGAATAAAGGCAGAATATATTAAATTATGGATTTGTGTTATAATAATTAAAATACTTTGTAGGAACGTCACCATCTAGTATTTTAATTCCTAAGTTTGACTGTAATATAAACGAGCAAAATGGATATGCAGTTTTTTTACCACCTGGTGTATGGTTTCCAACGTATGTCGCTTGTAATAAGTAACGAAAAGGAAACGAATGGAAATATTTACATTATACATAATAATATAATTATATAGATATATTATCTTGAGGGACCAACACATGCAAGCGAAAAGTATTGCTTTGAATATGCACTAAATTTTACAGTATAATTCTGTTTTTTTTTTAAAACCTTATATTAGAGTCCATCCATGCGCTTTGGTCCAAAGATCAGTTTATTAATCGGATTCATCCATTTTGAGTTAAAATTATCCAAAGAATAGTTAATTTTTACTTAATTACAATACACATATATCACAGATCTACAATATTTAGATGATTTTTAAATTCAACTCATTGACATCATTAAAGGAAACTGCATAAAACCAAGCGGAATATCGAATACTAAAAACCGTCGAAAGAAAGTATGTCTCGATCACATCAAAAGAGGTAAGTAAAAGCACGTTAATTTTTAAGCACTGCTTAGATAAGAGTCCATCACAAAAACGGGGCACTTTTGACTGGTTACACATTAAAAAAATTTCAGTCTAAGTATTAAATCCTAGTTACAGCTCCCGCGCGCACCGACTATTTACATGAACAGCACGAGAGTCCAATACAAAGGGATACCTAAGAACGTTAGTGCAAGGGGACCACGCTCTATCAGCTATCACACTAGGGGTCGGTATATCTCATTTGGGTGGCTGTTTTGGTTGCTGTTGTTCTGCCTTGAAGAGCACTGCTGCAAAGTAGACACGAACCAATTAATAACAAAAAAAATAGTAACGGGATGTTGAATAAGTTCTTGCTGGTTTTTTGGTAAAAGTAACGCTTTAAAATAATTAGTAAAACACATGTCACTGAAAGTATTTTCCATAGCTCGCCACTATTTTCCTATCTTCCTGGCAGCACTTTTAATTCCATGTCGGACAAATGGCTGTCTTTTGAGGTTATCCAAGAACATACACTAAATTTCAAGCTTGCTTATAGTACTTCTTCACAGGTGCGTTACCATCTCGAACTACACGCATGCAGTTCTGGTAACGCCATCTCTTGGAATTCAACATGAATTTATTCAACATGAACTTATTCAACCCCTATACAATTATAAAAAAAGTGCATGTTTTCACAAAAAGAAAGTGTATTAACACTTATTGGAACAAAAGTAACAGAAAATGTAAAAAAAGATAAAAAGAAATATGGTATCTGTCTAATAGCAAACAAACACAGGGAATCCTAAACTATCTGGGGTATAAATATGGACAATTTGACAATAATATCCCTACAAATACAAATATATGCACCAAAGATCTATTGCTTATTTGATATGATCTCTGCCACTGTTTCGCTTTTTTCGTTTCGTTGTTAAATATGTATTTCTGAATCACATTCAAATCTAACTTGAAAAATACATTTAGCGATGTTAAAATTACTATAGTAGGATCATATTCGATGCAAAGTACTACATCATTGCTTGTGAAGGGATCCAGTGCCATACGCTTTTAAGGGTTTTAGAAATTGAATAATTTCTTTATACATTATGAAGGGACGAAGGGATCAGTTCACGTCTGGCACCTTTGTTCCTACAAAAATTCTCTCTCTATTCTCATAAACCATTTATATTAAATGTAATTTATTATAAATCCAATTTGTTTTTTAATTTCTACATATATACTAGATTTTACCTCTGTACGCGCCACTGTTGTTTACTTATCTTTTGGAGGTGCTCTCTGTTTTACGATCAAGCTCGCCAGGTTAGTATTTGACGTATAACTGACCACTTTGTACACTCGATGCATCTGGGCGACTACATCAGCTACTACCAGAACACAGTGCATATGCAGCGGTATTTCAGATTTAACACTGAATTTCATTTTAAATTTGAAATGGTTTATCTTACGCCTCCTAAAAATGATGACACGATTTTCCTTTGATAAAAGACCGACAACTTTTTGCTCTACTTTGCATCGAATATGATCCTACTATAGAGCTCAAAAAATAATTCTAAATGTCTTCTACTAATTTACAAACTGAAATACGCAAAACAGAAGTCACAAGCTCCTTTTCTTCAATCTCGGTTTCGATTTGATAGCTGATTTCATCAATTTAATCGATAATGGACACATCTACTCGAATATTTTGGCACTTAGTTACACGAAATGAAGTGAAATTTCAACTCTTAAAGTTTTAAGAACAAACTAATCCAATACTTACTGCTTGCTTCCTCTCCCAACTCTTCATCGCCGACTTGTACTTCTCGAATTCGTGGCACCAGTCCGAATAAATCTTCTGATAGTCATTGCTCTTGGCCGGGGGCGAACAGCGGTGAGCATCAACCGTAACGTTGTAGGAACATAAAAGGGACGCCCCCATCCAGCAATCGTATCTTCCCGCGTCCGCTTCGGTCACAGCGATGATCACTAGCCCGTGTTCAGAGGTCTCTATGTATTTATCCGGCCTATATTGGATCTTGTAACGGCCCTTCTCCTTCGAGTAGTGGTACCAGGTGATGGTCTGGGAGGCTAGGACCGCGGGCATCTTCAGGAAGCACCCCAGGTGGAGGCTCTGGCCCCAGGTCACCACCATCTTCTTTTTTACTACGCTGCTGTCGCATACGTCGATGGTGCTGTTGGAGACGTCTTGCAGCAAACTGAAATCGAATAAATCGTTATATGAGGTGAAATTGAATACTAGTACGTAAATGTTAATATGAAATTATTATTTTTTTAACAAAGTTGTTTGAGGTTATACAAGCCTGTTCAGTGGCGGGGTATGAAAATTACAAAAAAAAGGTTGAAAAAATCAGTTTTCACAAATCATTTAGAATACTGACCCTGGGGAGTATGGCTTGCAGACATTAGAGTCCTTATCCCAGCCACAGTAAGGATCGTGGACACATCTAAGGCAATTATCGTATCTTCTATTGCACATCACCAGGTCCACCTGTTTGACCCTGTGGTCCGAAGCAACAAATAGAGCTTTGTGCTCCTTAGAAATCTCCATGACTTGTATGGGTTCTCCAGGAGTCACATCAAAAATGTCTAAAAGTATCGAGGCTGATCCTTCTTCTTTGGCCCATTCTACGATTTTGTGAACTCTCCCGTCGTCTGAAACAGAAGTGAATTAATACAAGAAATTAAACGCTGGAGATTTTTGCATTTATTCTGAACAGTTGGGATCACAATCGACACCATAAAATCTAATCTAATCTATTATATCTGAGGTCATCCATCAGAACTCCTTCTGGATCCTTACGCCTACAAACGTCAAAATTTGGAGCAAACTTCTGCCCTTATTTTGACTTATCTGATAGCGTAATTTATAAACTTACTGCTGCGGTTGCTACAGCGGTGCCATTTCTCTTAACTACCTTTTAGAAGAAGCTAAATTCAAACTTACTTGTTCCCGCGTAGTACACGGTGTAGTCCAAAACTGCGCCGCCAATATCAACCCTGATTTTATCCACGACTAATTTCGTAAAGAATATATCCCTCTTGAAGAAGACGGGCTTCTCGTTTTCATGCATCACAGCAGAGTCCATGAGAGGATGGCTCCTTATGAAATGCAACACGGTGTCCGGTAAAGTTTCCGTATCATTCACGCAAGTGCCCGGTCTTGGTTCGGGAACCCTGCTGGATAAGACTGGCAGCCAGGCTGACGAAGAGGTGGCTTGTTCTTTGAATTTCCCTCTGAAAACATCCTGGATGTCCGAAAGTTTGAACGAGCAGATGGCGGAGCCCATCAGTCCGTTGGTGGAGGTGGTGAATGTCCCGTAGAATTTGGTGTCGTCGCCTGGTACTTTGTAAATGCTCTCTGAAAATAAATATTGTACCTTTTTAGTTGTAAGAATACATGTAAAGGCAGGGTATGGAATGACTAGAAAATGATGATGAATGGCAATTCATTTCTCAGTAAAATTTATTTTGGCTGCAGCTTGGGAGAGTTTATTTATTTTTGGTACACCATATACCAGTTAAGGTCAACAGGCTCTTGAACTCAGAATTAAAATATACCAGTACAGTATTCAGAAAAGTTTCTATTATTTTTTATTTTTATATTAATCCATACAGTATATTAAGTAGGTACATAAGTCAGTGACACTTTGCTTAACTTTAGATTTAACAATAAAATTTCTTCAATTTTTTAATATGTATTATTTTAGTAAAAACAACTGTACTAATATTTTCATATTTCCGTCGAGTATTAATAATAGTCTGACTTGTAATAAATATTTTTGTGTATAATTTTATGAAAGCTCGATCCACGACAACAAATTTATTGTTAATTACACAATATCTATAGAAATTCTTGGATAAGTAGTTGTAGGTGGATGTAATCTATACCGATTTAGGCCCGGTATTTTGAGTCTTGGTTAAGGCTTCATTAACTAATCAGGCGAATAGACTGTGATTATACTTTATAAAAAAATTAGTATATGTACAGCCTAATCGCCTGATCAGTTAATCAACCTTTAACCGAGACTCAAAGTACTGGGTCTTAGTTACTGCATTTGATAGGCTGCAACCAATATCAAATTCTTTTATGTCAATTTCATTTTTGCCTTTATTATCTTTGTAATCGCTAGCAATTTGTATGTTATAGGAGTTTCACCCCACACAATGTTCCAGTTTTATCAAGTATTCCTGATATGAAAATATTGGTCCTAACCGTTTTTCATTGTTATTGAAAAGTTAACTAAAAAAGTGCCTATCAGAATTTCTTTGCAAAATCTAATGTTGGAGAAGTGTAAAAAATCAAATGATTGGTTTTTGTCACATACACACACGCTTTATGTACTTTCAATATGTTGTAGAAGAAAAAAATATATAGGGTGATCTTTTCTGACTGATCACAAAAGAATTTTGAAATCCTCTCAGACTACATTGCCATGCGATGTTTACTAAAAAAAAATAATTGCCATTCAAATTCTAAAACTAAGATAAATTTCAGTTAATATGTATTTGTGGATAGCTTCTGACCTTTTACTAAAATAATAATTCTACGAAAAGAGTATAAAAACAAAAATGAAATTAGTTTATAAATGTAAATTCCGATATCTTGCTCTCTCAAGTAAGATAAGTCCTGTTTAATTAAACGTAGAGTTACTGTTAGTGTTCCACTGAATACTTACGAATTTCGTTGAAATAGAATGGAAACTCCCCCGGAATGGAACAGTTCAGTCTAGCTTTAAGATAGGTCGCCCAGTTCTGCGAAAGGGTGTTCTTCCCTCCCGTGTCCTTCTTGCAGACCCTCGCGACCCTAGAATAGACGCTTTTACCGCAGTTGATGTATTCCACGGCTGTCTCTCTGAAGAAGAATAAAACGTATTCGCCGATATCAAACGATCCCACAAAGTTAGGCTCTGAAAATAAGAATTTCCCAGTTTCAATTCACGTCCATCAATTTTCACGGCGATAAAATAAAAAAGAACGTTTCACTTCATGATTCTGATGCATACTTTTACACGTTCATGTCTATTTGAATGTCAAAATTACGATGAAATGTTTTTAAACATTTTTATTAGCCGACGACAAACGAGGACAGGAAAGTGACGCGATTTAATTGAGTTTAACAAGAAAATGGTTGGGGCCAAACTATAAAAGGTACATTAACTTCGGCGCGATGACTTAATTTAGTATCAATTTACATTTTTATATGTTCGTTGCCCGCCCGAAAAAACCGTGTTTAAGAATGTAAGGGTGTTTAAATAATCGGGGTCATTTTGTGTCGTAAAACTTCTAACTTGGGATTAATATATATGTAAATGCACTCCAAAATTACTGGATTATAAAAGAAAACTTTCGGTAGTTAAGGATTGCATCACCTGTTAGACACGTATAATTAAACTGGCGGGGGTTGCCCTCGCACAATTTCTTCAAAAAAAGTTTTTCCCTTAGGTAAGACTAACGTTGTAAATTAAATACTTACTTGATATTGGCGCCCAACGTGGGGCAAGTATTACAGGAAAAGTTCCCGTATATATTTCAAAATAAATGTTTATGAACAGAGTAGTAATTTCATAAAAATATTTTTTGGCGCCCAACGTGGGGAGGAAAAAATATAAATGAGCGAACACCACTTACTGTCGAGCCACTTGGAGTCGTATTTCAGCGTCCTCTTGAAGCTGTACTCTTTCCTGCCTGTCGTTAAATTGTGGAGGTCCGTTCGGAAAATGACGGTGTCAGCTTTTGTGAACTCAGCGTTGGTGCCGGAGTAGAGGCCAGCCAGATCCCCGGGATTGCCCTTCTCCACCCACACGGCCGTTGAGTTATCTGCGGGGTCGTAGGGGCATTTCGCTATGCCCATGCCGATGCCCGGTACGAATGTGTTCCGGGGCAGATGGGTCAGGTTCGACTGGGAAAAATTATATGTTATTCTTTCGGAGGCGGTGGCATCGTACAAAAAGTTCTATTTTCGACGAGGTTTGCCGGTAAACAATTGATTTTTCTTCGTGGGAAAGTAAAAGCGATGGAAAACAATGTGCCGCGGCTGAAAAACGCGTTGATAAAAACTGCGCGATGTGTGAATATAAAAAAGAAGGATGGCCTAACCTATGACCTCTGCATGGAATAAATTGCGGTTTATCGTACAATTAAATCTTTAATTTAGATAAATTTTTCGTACTCGTAAGCAAAATTTTCAGTGTCAGTTGTATCAGCGAAGGCAGGGTCGTAAATTTTTGCTGTTTGCTTTTTTTTAATGGAAATGTTGATACAAAGAGTAATTCACCCATATATCTCTATCTCCATAGTATTTTAAGCCACAGGCATTTCTCTCCCGTTAATATACACAACATTTGTACGTATGCAATTACCGTATAAAAAAAATTTGTCCTTGAATTGAAAGCCGAAAAAAAAACGGAAGGTTAGAGTTATTTTCATTAAACTTCCGGATCCTTAAACTAATCAACCGAAACACTCGAGTGTGTGAACTGAAAAATTACAAAAAATTCAAGGCAGAATTCGAATAGCCGTAATTCAGAAATGTGGCGAAAATGCTTGAGTAACAAAATTGTTAGTAGCGGAACTTAACTCTACAAAGATGTTAGACACGTCAAAGGCTTAACAAACATGGGAAACGCCAGATCTCCTAATAGACTCAATTGTCACGCTACCATCGATACGAGCAAACGTTATATAAGCCGAAGGGCACGACAAGAGATTCATAGATCTATACTAAAACATATACCTAGTAGCAAGAGTCAGCTCAGACGTTACAATGGATATGAGCAGACATCACCGAGACCAAACGGCACGTTAAGAGATTCATAGATCCATACTAAAAGGTATATCTAATAGAGAAGTCAGCTCAGAAGCTACAATAGATACGATCAGATATCACCGAGACCAAAGGGCACGATAAGAGATTCGTAGATCCATAATAAAAAGTATACCTAATACCAAGAGTAAGCTCAGACACCACAACAGACACGAGCAAACGTGCCCGAGACCGAACGGCACGACGATAAATTCATACATCCATATTAAAAGGTATACATCTAATAGCAAGATTTTGATGAGTATTGCGAATAGCGGTTTAAACTGCATCCCAAACGTGGCATTAAAGATTTACGGGTGCATTGCCGGTGATTTCCTCGCAAAAATCGCGCGGATTTGGCGTTCGACTTTATGTCCCTCTAAGCTAGAGGCTTTAGTCGGTTGAATAATGAATACACATCGACGTTAGTTAAGTGGTAGCTGGTAACCAGATGGATATTGAATTATTCAGCGCATCGTATTTACCGCCACATGCTAAAACGTTACGTCCAAAGCCCCACCGAATAGAATATTAACGGAGAGCCTTAAGCTTCGGAAATCGTAGAAATTGTATATCGTGTATGATTGCTCTTTCAAGAGAAATTTAACGATGTTTTTGCCCCCAACCTTTTTTTATGATATGATATTTAAATCAATCAATGGATATTTCAAAAAGTAACAGATACTTCGTGAAAGGAACATTCTAAAGAACTTGAGAATCATATGGAGGTAAGGTATTCTGTTAAGAAAGTTTTTGATTTGTCAAGAAGAAGGAAATAGTACGTTCTAGAATATTGTTAATTCTTTCTTGGAATGTGGATGAAATTATTACTTAGTACTACTAGGAAAAGCACAAAATAGTATCCGAAATTTGGATCATGGAGTTAAATAAAAAATATTGAGATATCTAAAGTCGTTTTTTTCTTCATCACTTCGCTTCTAAACCTACTTTTTGGGTCATTTTCAGTGACTCAAAAAGGGTGATGTGAACAATTGAATAACATGAAAGTAAATAAAACTATGAAAACATATTTTTCTATTTTCAATTGTATACTTACATTGATTACCCAGTCTTTCGGATTGTGTGCATTTGTTCCGCAAATATACAGTCGACTGCCATCACCCATGGACTGAATCACTCGGATGTGGTTTCTGCAATCGAAGTGCTGAAAAAATGTTTACACATTAAAAATAGTGTAAAAGTCTTACATTTAAAATGACAGGAACAAATATTCCACAGGATGATTTAGTCTATTTATTTCCGTGATTTTTTGCAGTTTGCCAACGTTTCGAATGATTTCCTGCCTTCTTCAAGACTACAATAAGAATTTTAAAGAAAAGTATATCTGGAGATGCAATATATATCGCATATATTAGATTATTATACAATCTATTATTATAATTCAATTTTATATAGTTATTGGAAATATAAGAAAAATAATTATTAATTTTATCCGAATCTGATAAATGAGGAATATTTGGAGCCTTGTTAGAGCAAATTAAATATTGATTTTCTTAAGAGCAGTCTAAGTTTGATAATAATTAGCTTGGGCGTAAAAAAAGTGAAAACATTGTCTTTATATGCTGCTTTGATTTTGAATATAATGTTCTTCCATGGTCAAATGGCTTCCGGTACAGAGAAACGCAACGTATAGAAAAGGAAAATCGCCCGGAGTGATAAATACGTAACCGTTCGGTTCTATAAATGAGTTCCTCGACGTGAAGGCATCGTATGTTGTTATATGAGACTTAACACGTCCAGTAAAGAAGTCCCAGGCGGTCAGCAGCATATAACACGCCACTTTCTACTCCAATCGACCGATCAGAGCTTTTTACACTGTAGGGAACTAAACTTTTTCCAACTCTATAAGAAGTTGCTCCCTAGGGGAATCGATAGCCAGCAGTATTTTCGCGGTCGGAGGTTAACAGCCATTCCGATTCAACGCCGGGCAACTTCTTCCTTCTGCGAAATTAGGCGTTTGTTATTCCCGGGAACGATTCCGTCGATCGAGGTTGACGGTTCGCTGTCACGGGAATATAAATTCTTTTCTTACCTTTCACACTGCGGGTCGACAAAAATGGCCCATTTTAAAAGTGATCGTTTAGGACTATTTGCGAAATTTTATCGATAAGATAAGAAGATAATTCATCGGGGTGTTATTATTGAAAGTGGGGCGCTTGTTGCTTATTACCTAATTAGATTAGGTCAATGATACATATTACAAAATAAAACATACGTAACGAATGTGATTTAATGTAATTAATAATGAATCTTTTTTGAAATCTAAATCAAAAGGATATAAAGAAATCTCTTGTTTGAATAAAATTGCATAAAAGAGATCTCGGCCTATAGCCAACCCTGTACCACATTGCAATCGCCCTAACATTTCCGATCCCTAACAATCATACATGCCATGCAAAATGTAAAGAAACATTGCAGAGTGCATATTTCTGCGTTGTTCTAGACTGGATATTTTAAACCTTTCGAGTAAAGTATTCTGAGGAATATCTATTTGAGCATACATTTCGATTTATTTATAAAAAACAAAGGACGGACCTGAAATGTACGATTTACTTTCGGACATTAGAAAATACTCTATAATTATGACAGTTTAATTAAACTCTACCAGGAAAATTATAACAGACCAATAAATAATCTTTTCTAATAATAAAAATGCTCTGCCTTGAAGGCAAAGCAAAAAAAGAATATTTAGTTTTTACCACCACGTGATAGCTCTGTATATACTTTTGTACCTTTAGTTAACTATTGCCCCTTCGTCAACATGCAGAATCTTTCTATTAAGGCAGAATTAATGATTCTTACATTTTATCACCATTTATTATTTTTTTTAATAATGTCTCATTTCCCAATAAATAAGCATATACAAAAAGAAAAACCGGTATTTTCGATGGCTCTTATTAATAAATACAACTTTCTATAAGAGTAGCTCTCAAAGAAGCGAAAGCTTCTCAAGTATCAGTAATATAATCAATTGTAATACCGTATAGACAGATTTGTCGTTGTTTGAAGCACCTGAGATCCCTCTCGAGCGCGATGTAGAGCAGATAATACCGAAATTAAATGTCACAGGTCATTTAATGTTAAGCGGAAGACGGCACAAGTAACTGCCGTCATATGTTTTAATCAATAATGCGTGTAATTGACAAGAAAATCAGTGGAGGCAATAGGCACATATTAAGCGATGCCGCTCCTTGGAGAGCTATATAAAGAAGAGGAGAGGGGGGAGGGTCGGAGGAACCCACCCAGAGCAGTGTCAGTGTGTACAGCTGTGGATAATAAAAAGTTTCCGGTTTAATAGTATATTAAACAACAAGGTTTGAAAACGACTCTTTGCACACGAGCGAGACATATTGGTGGACCGAGCCGAAGGCGAGGTCCACAAGTTGAGCGAGTGTGCAAAGAGGTTTTCAAACGAGTTTTTTACGATACTTTTTATAAGACTGCAAACAGAGACCACAAAAATCAAATTTTAATTTAAATCGTTTTTTTTACTAAAATTGCCAACGCATTAACAAAATAAATTAAATACAACTTTTAATTTAACTCGTTTTTATTAAGAAAATTGCTAACGCATTAACAAAAAAAACTAATATTTAATATTTATGGTAACATTTGAACATTCCTTCAAGGTTACGCTGGGAAAAGCAGTATTATTGTGCACCTTGTTTTCGGTAGAGAATATTTTTGGTGTCGTGTTTTTAGTGCAGTTTTTCAGCGTGCGGTCGTTGTTTTCTTGTTGTATTCCAGTAGACGATCGTTGTTCTGGTTCTGTGGCAGCAGAAGACACTGAAGACTCTATCTTTTTCGAAACTTCCATTTTATTTCTCAAATAGTCATCAACGTAGCCTTCGGCAACTGTACTGAATTTCCACCCTCCATGGCGTTTGAGGGCAAAGCAGATTTGAGCCAAAATTGACTAAAATTGTGGCCGATGAACGCCGAAAACAATGTCCCGTGTAACTTTCTGGATTCTCTAGCATCAAAAACTTGGCGATTTCCCTAACCATGTTTCCAATTTTGTTGATGCCAACGTTTTGGCTTGAACATTTTCCGTTTTGATAGTTTAAAAAAAATGCCTGTCTTCAGATTAGGAGGACGAAGAGCACAGTACTTTTTTAAGATAGTGTAAAGGCTTCCTGTAATTGTAAAACACCTTGGAACCTTTGTTTTTGTATTCTTCAGTTTAATCAGCATAGCACTGCCGAAATCTTTGGTGTCTTCTATTTTGAGATAACATAATTCCTCCCTTCGACATGCCCCAGATAGGCCACCACCGCCTTGATAAGTAAATATTTGTCGTCCGATGCTTTCGTCAAAAACCGGCAAAAATCATCTTCTGCGAGGATTAGGGACTTCTTTGGGACGTAGTTTTCGGATTTTCGTTTGATTAGCGCTTGCAACTTTTTATAGCTTCCAAGATCTATGTTGTGATTGGCACTTAACGTTGACTTGAGCATCGAAAAAATCGTCCACAACGTCGAAGATTTATATTTCTTAGATAGTTCTTCAAAATACACCATTACTGCGTTTTCTGAGAAAGTTTGGACATTTTTGGATAGTCGCCAGTCCATAAATCGGCTTAACTCAGCTTCATACCTGCTTCTGGATTTTGTGGGCAGCAGTTCCGAACATATTTCGCTTGCTTTCTGTAAAATCTCTTCAGAATCATACATTTTCACACCCAAACCTTGGGAATTCAACAATTTTTGAAGTATCTAATCAACAAAATAAAGGAGCCGTGACGGTTGCTATGAAACTCAGCCAACTTGAAACATTGCATAATTTGGGTGACAACATCAAACAAAAATCACAATCTGGAGACGCATGTGCAAAGATGACAAAATGCAAAATGTTTAGCACACGGCGTGTGCAAAATACCGTTTTCAGAGCGTGTTTTCCGTGCGCAAAACGCCCTTTTGCAAGGCAGTCATATAAAAAATCACTTACGCTCCTGTATAAAATAGGAATTCATTAGTTTTGATCTTTAAAATCCTTTACACATTTTACGCAGGAAACCTTTTTGTGTCCACAGCTGTACCTAGTAGTAGGAACGTATGGTAATACAAAAAAATTTCCATGGTTTTAATTGGACAAATTACTCTTTAATTAAAATTTAAAAAATAAATATCGACACAGAAAAAACGATATGAATTTGATTAAAGACAATTAAATTGTCTCACGTTAAAGTAATTTAGGGTAGTGTGGGAGAAGGGTTAGTATACTATTACTTTTGAAAAAATTTTTGACGGCTCCGCTAAGTTCTAACTAATATATATTCACCTTGCGATTTTCCTTAATCTAAAGGGGAAAACGCCGCTCGGTGCCCATGCGGCGGCGCCCATGCGTGTAAGAAATATTCGGCCGCCGGTCCATTAAACTTTTGCCGTTTAATTTAATCCGGCCAGTATGCGAAATACTATGCATGCGAAAGTTATCCAGTTATCCACTTGCTCTATAAATTTCAACTTGTAACTTGACAGTTTTGGATACTGCCTACTTGATATTCCATAACGCATTCATCGCGCCCCACGATTATCTATATAAACGTTAATATCAAAATTCTATTACTGGAATACGAAAGACTGCCGTTCTCATAACTTCATTCGATATTAGAAGATGTAAGGAAAGGATATAAGGCTGCTAACGTATTTTTTCCAAGACCACCGTTCATGGTTTGTGTGAGGAAGGCGCGGTGTATTATTATTTCGCATGTTTCCTAACAGTAAGTGTTCTTTATTAGAATAGACGGATTGCTTGAAGAGCGAAGTTAAAGAGCTCGTAAGGGTGATTTTTTGGAAAGAATCTAACTCAAGTTTATGTTTTTCTTAAACTGTAAAAAAAATTCACTCAAATTTCACTCAATTTTACTCAATAATATATCAATTTCTGTCCAGAAATTACTCAAATTTACTTTAAATATAATCAATCACAAATGAGTAAAATGATCAAAATGCCCAATATTGAGTGAAAATGCACTCAATAATTTCACTCAGTGGATTCACTCCGAACCTTTACTTACACCGATTTTTTACAGTCTAGGAGAGAATCTAACTTAAAATATTTAAAGAAATATTTTTGATTGTTTATTTTGGGCTAAATAGAACAATAATGGCATGCACTGACATTTACATACAATGACTCGAG